TAGCGCTACACCCTGAACGATAACCCATGAACCCGTACTTCTGGGGCCTTAATAGTTAGAATAGGGTTTTGGGGCCCAACTTACTCTAGTTATAATAAGGAACCCCAAAATAGTATGGACAATTATTTCGGCCCCTACCCTATAGTAAACCCAAAGCCATGCGCCCTCCAAAGCGTTCCAATCCAGCCATGAAGCAGCGCAAGGAACTGTGCTCGGAGCTCTCCTTTGGCTCTTACCCTTCGCAAGTAGATGCCCTTCAGCCGTCTAAGACTTTCGGATCCTTCGTGAAGAGTGGCGCGGTCCAGCAAGAACTGCAGGGCAGAGGGGTGGGGGAGTAGAGAACTTGGGGTCGTTTGGGTGTTTCGGGTTTGGGTTTAGGATTCAGGGATTAGTGGTTTAGGATTTAGGATTTAGGGTGTATGAGGGCCGCTTCTGGGGCATGGAGGGCTTAGGGTTCGTCCTTGAAGCCCAAATTTATGCAAAATCCCATCCATAAGGCCGAAGCCCTGAATCCTAAACGCTAAAGTTAAACCCAAACGTGGACGCATCCAGACCCGCCTGAAAGCTCTGGCTGGATGATAGCCGACATTGAGACTGGCCGACCTCCCCGAGACACATGGAGGCAGCTGAGGTCTCCCCCCGGTGCTTCTGACCACGAATAAGCCCTACTTGTCGGGTATCATGGGGAACTAAAGGTTAACCTTTTTGGCTATATAGGGATCCTAAACCCTAAACCCTAAACCCTGCACCCTAAACCCTAAACCCTAAACCCTAAGCCCTAAACCCTAAACCCCAAACAAGGTTAAAGGTTACCTACTCTACTACTAGGAAGCCTTCCACTCGTCCATGGCCAGAGAATTTCTACCTGCTGCTAGCATTGCTGCGACCGTCACTCTAACCCTGAAAGAACCCTTGTAGAACCCGTAAAGTAACCCTTATAGAACTATAGAACCCTTAACGTAACCCTTAAAGGACCCACGACCCTTGCCACTCCCGCAACTGCCATTATGCTTAAAGGATCATGGGACTTAGTAACTAAGGTTATAACTAAGGCAACTATACTTATAACGACTTATAAACCCAATTAGGGTACTTACAACCTCACTTACTAAGTCCCCTGATCCTCCAAGTAAGTACTCACTCCTGCAGTTCTGACGAGCAAAAATACTTCCTAAGACAACGTTGCTTAGACCGTTCCTCATACTGCGACAACCATTACAATGCGACAGCGCACTGTAATACAGGGGCCGAAAAAATTTAGGGGTTTAGGGCCCATTACACTATAAATATAATAAGGAACCCCCAAATAGTATAGGTAATCATTTAATCCCCTATACGTAGAACCCTTTAAAAGGAACCCTTAGTTTTGGTAACTATTTAGACCCCGATATTAGCGAGTCTCGGGTTGGAGCGCTGGGTCTCGGGTTTCGGACACCTAAATAGTTGCCTATGCCTTTTTTGGGGCTTCCTTATAACCGGTTTAGCATAATCGGCCCCAAAACCCTGTTCGAATTACTGAGGCCCCTACATTGCAGTACCCTTATACGGTTGATGATATAAATCTGCATTAGCTTAAGGAGCCTAAAGTATGGCAACTATGGTATAGTCCTTATTATGGGTAATGCAGGATTTATATCATCAACCGTAGTAGCCCTTTGGATGTAGTACACTCATGGGGTTGTCAAAATTATGGTCCCTTTTTGGGTATCCTAAATAACAGGTGCCGTAATATAATAGGGACCCAAAAAGGGGCCCTAATTTTGACAACCACCCTTATAGTAGCCCCTTTAGATAATTCAGGCCCCTGTATTTTGGGCCACAGGCCTTGAGCCCGTCCTCGCCAGAAGAGCATGGTGGAGAAGTAGGAAGCACAAATCGTGACTCAAAGATATAGACCTACTTGGAGGATCAGGGGACTTAGTAAGTAAGGGTTCTTAAAGGGCTCCTTAAAGGGATGTATATAGGGTTCCTTAAAGGGATCTCTAGGGTTTAGGGTTTAGGGTCTACTTGGAGGATCAGGGGACTTAGTAAGTAAGGTTAGTCCCCTAATTGCGGTTATAAGTTATAAGTAATTGTAAATATAGTTACCTTATTTGTAACCCCAATTACAAGCTCCCATGATCCTTTAAGTAGTTCATGGTTGGGATAGAAAAAAAACATAGATGTTTATTCCTTATCGGGTTTAAGTACCCATGCAAAAGTAAAAAATGTTACCCAACCATGACAAAGACACAAGGGAACGGCTGAGAATCGCATAACCCAAGTTCTGAAACAGCATGTGCACCATCCTCGGATGCTCTCACGGCTTTTCGATATCGGTTGTTCAACTGAAAACTGGTCTCTGAGGGGCTGCAACGGAACTAACAATGATGCGGGGGCCTTAAATGCTGACTTTTCTGGGGCGAGGTGAAGTATCGTCTAGTATACTTGTATAAGGATTCTCAGGGCTAATTCTGCAGACCCTATTCGGGAGTTTCCGAAAATAAGGGACCCTGATATAGTACCCTAAATAGTAGGATCCTTATTATAAGGACCCCAAAATAAGGTACCCCCTAATTTTCGGAAACCCCCATTCGATGATAAAGGTTGCAAAAAACAACCTGGCATCCCACTCGTGAAGGACACTTGCGAGCAGACGGTGTTGATGAAGGCCGCAGTCCCGTAGAGGCAAACACAGGAGGTTAAAACGGTGTGCCTCTGAATGGACAGCCGCAAACCCTAAACCCTAAATGCCAAGTCCAAACCCAAAAACCTAAACCCCAAACCCGAGACTCGAACTTACTGTAGGCAATAGTAGCCCTTCTTCCCACCCCTCACTCGCATCCCTTACAGCAGCGGCTAAAGTAGGTTCAGGGTTTAAGGTTTAGGGTCTTTGGTAGCCCAAACCCTAAACCCTAAACCCTAAACCCTAAACCGCCTCTCTAGCAGGGGGAAGTAAGCTGTGAAATACGCGAGGACGCCGACGATGAGGCTCTCGGCGGCTTCTTGGTCCCCGCCATCGAAGAGAACGAGGGGGAACCAGTAGAAAATCACATGGAAATAACAAACGATCTGCCTTAGGGTTTAGGGTTTTAGGGTTTTAGGGTTTAGGGTTTAGGGTTTTGGGGGTTCAGGGTGCATGGTCTGGGTCTTGGGGGTTTAGGGGCTGTAGGGGTTTGGGGGGGGCTTTAGGGTTTTACTTGGGAATGCAGAGTCCTTCCCGTCTGCTAGCAACAGCTTAGCATGAGCCCCGGTTAGAATCTTAAAGTGCCTTTAGGGTTTAGGGTTCTAGGGTTTAGTGTTTAGGGTTTAGGGTATGCCGATGGCACCTGAACCCTAAACCCACACTGCTATCCAAGACACCCGAGCATGTTGCTATGCTTGGCATCGTAGAGGATGTGAGGAAATGCCTTCTCCGGAAGGTCCCGGCACCAATAGGAAGCGAAAAGCATCGTAGGGCATAAGCCAACAGAGACTACTGGCACCTGTCCGATTTAGTTCGGGGTCTAGGGTTTGGTGTTTCATATAGGGGCTTAACAAGTACAACAGGGTCTTGGCGTGTTATATTATACTCTAATTATAGTAAGGAGCCCCCAAAATAGTATAGATAAGTATTTAAGCCCCTACAGTAGGTGTTTGGGGTTCAGGGTTTAGGGGCTTGGGGTTGCGGCTTAGGGTTTCCGGTTACATGGGTTTAGGTTTTGGGGTAGCCGTTTCATTTAAACACAAGGAGGAGCCCAAAGCCCAAAGCCTAGACTTGTTGCAGCCACACTTATCCGAATCTGAAAGCCGCCGAAGGGCGACAGGTGAAAGGTACATCTCCGATGCTGCGAAAACCTGGCAGTTGACCGTAACGACGATGACGGAGACAGCGAGGAGAGTCAATCTCGCATGATGCCTCGCTGCGCTGGACGCGCCGGGCAACCTGATCGCTCCATAAACGCCCTGACAGAAGCATCTCCAGCTCCTCATCATTGATGCCGGGAGCCTTCGCATTGCCGCATCGACCCTTCTGCTTCCCTAGGCCATGAAAGAAAGCTGTAGTCCTGCCCAGAAGGTTGCTGCTTCATGCAACCGCGTGCTTCAGGTCCTGTGCTATTCGGATAGAAACCTAGATACAACCTGCCTAGCTTTGTCTTGAGTTTGTCTTGAGCCATCAAGTCCAACCGCCGGAGCACGACAGGGAATCACTCCGTCGAACTTGCCACTGAAGACGGACTTCCGAACGCAAGGTTCAGAATCTCGAACTTGCAGTGCAGGTTCTGGGGTTCTAGAGCTCACCACCGACTGTTTGACATAGGAGCCTTCATAACTAGAATAGGGTTTTGGGGCCCAGTATACTACGACTATAACAAGCAAGCCCCCCCCCTCCCCCCCAAAGAACAACACATCGGTAATTATGTCGGCCCCTATATTAGAGTTGGGGAGTGTTCTCCGACACAGACATACTTTACGGGGTTATGGGACTTAGTAACTAGGCTTATGGCTTATGAATATAGGTAACTATACTTAGAAGTTCGTATAACTCATAACCTCAACTGGGGTTACTTCGTAATTACTAAGTCCCCAGATCCTGCAGGTACACGTCGATTTCGAGTTTAAGGTGTAGGGCACATGTACCATTTCTAGTCCCTGCACACGGAAACCAGAAACCCCAAACCCCAAGCGAACGGATTACCACCCTGAACTCTTAAACCTTTCGACAGGACTTTCAAAACCCAATTGCACCATGAGCTCGAAACCCAGTTGGCGGGGTTGCGCAGGGTTTCTTGCGGCTGTGGATCGGGGCCTGAATGATGCCCAAATGGATTTGGGTAGGGTAGATTATAGTATAGAGGGTTCAGAACCCCGAAACCGGCTGATTGGATCTAAACACCTAAAAGACGACAAAACAACAACTACCGACCCACCCACCCCCCCATTTCGACTCTGAACCCTAAACTGTAGACATCTTAACAACCCTAAACCCCTAGGCTTTAAACTCTAAAGCCCTAAACATTCCTTCCCCCCCCACAAGGCACCAGCTCGGTTTCGAAGCCAAGGCTTCGGCAGCCGCGGCTGCCTCGGCCACGCGGCGGCCTGCCTGCAAAAAGTTTACCCCAAACCCTAATATAAGGGCCTTCATGATTAGAATTAGGGTTTCGGGACCCATTATACTATATAATTTTAAGAAGGAACCTCCAAGACTTGTGCAAAATGAATTGTAACGTTGTTGTCTAAGACCATCAACCCAAGGCGATTCTGCGCGCGGCTCTGCTCCCTTTGCTTATAGTATCCCTGTGGGAGGGGGCTCCAAGGGTGGTAGGGAACCTACTAATCCCTAGTTCTCTCCAGTGCTCCCTAAGGCTCCCTTCAGGTTCCCTAAGGATCCCTTGTACCCTGCCCCCTTGAACCACCCTCTCTTAAGGACCCTATAATTTGCCATAGCCTCATCAGATCGGGGAGAGTAAGCTCCCGGTCGCACTGATGCCTCCAAGAGGATTCAAGATCTAGCAGTTTAAGGTTTAGGGTTTGGGGTTTAGGGTTTAAGGTTTCGGGGTTTAGGGTTTTGGGTTGTTTTTTCTTTTTTAAGGGGTCCTTTTTGGGTCAACATGAGTACCAAAAGCCTGTTCAGGCGAGCACAGGTTGAAAGAAGGCACCTTACCTTCGACATTCAACTGAAAAGACAAGGAACCCCTCAGCCGATCAAACCTCACCTCATTCATGACAATCTCATTCGCCTCGTTGACGTTTCACCCCAATACGACTGACATCACCATTCTTTACTCCACGTGGATCTGAAGAATCAAGTTCGCCCTGGACCATATCCATCTCCATCCCAAGATCCCCTTGTGCTACTTCTGAATCGAGTAGAAGAGCAGCAGCATCACATACTGGTAGTTCAGAAGATGTTGTATTGGTAACCGGGTGCTCATCATCAACTCCAGGGACCCCATCCAACAGAGTGTCACCAGCACGGCATTCTTCCAGGTCTTTCTGTCCTTGAAGTAGGTCCAACCACGACGCACCGTATCGAGACACAACCACATCAACAGCTACTTGGCCGCATTTCCATTGTTGGTATGTGGTCTCCAAGGACACAATACGTCCATGAGGCATCTGAGGAACATGGACAGGTACCTCGTGACTATGAGAAGCCATTGCAGCAGTCAGACCACGTCCGTCAGGCATTTCAGGAGCATGTACAGGCATTTCGCGACTATAAGAAGCCCTTGGAACATTTCCCGGCATGCACTGTTCAACCCTGTCAACAACCAAGGAGAGTCGTAGGGGTAGTTGTCCAGCTGGAATCACAAATGATGCCGACGGGCTGTGTTGGCTTTGCACCATGGATGTACTCCCCGTGGATACCGTGACCCGTAGAGCGTCTTGGCGTATTGAGAATCACCCAATCTTCCCAGTCACGAAACACAGCTGCTTGGTGTTCTTCCCATTAGTAACTAATGGCTGTCTATACCCTAATGGATTTCATAACATTAGTTGTTGGTCCTGCACTTCTTGTTGAACCTCTTCTCGTGCCCATGGGCACGTAGTTGGTCATCCTCGTGGTTGAGCAGGTGGTGATCTGGCATGTACTTGGAGGGTCATGGGACTTAGTAAGTAGGTTCCTTAAAGGGCTCCTTAAAGGGATCTATAGGGTTCCTTAAAGGGATCTATGGGGTTTAGGGTTTAGGGTCTACTTAGAGGATCATGGGACTTAGTAAGTAGGTTATAATTGGGGTTATAAGTCCCCTAAGTGGGGTTATCCTAATTATATCCTATTTATAACCTTACTTACTAAGTGCCATGAGCCTTCAAGTAGTCATGGCACTGACCACCCACAGTGCCGAGATGGCTCAAGTCCGTCCACCCTGGCCACTGCCGCCAACATGTTCATTGAGTCTCGAATCCAGCCGTTCGGAAGGTGTAGGGTTTAGGGTTCTTTTTTTTTTAAAAAAAAAAAGTGTGTTGGGGCCTTTTCTGCAGAAGAAGTCCCACCCAGGATTTGGGCTCACACTAAAGAAAAGAAGCGCCCTCAGAAGCCACCGCTCAGGGCTAAGAGAGTTTAAGCTTCGGAAACTAATTAGAGAGCTACTCATATTCTTCAATTCAGGGATCCTGGAGAGTCTCTGGGTCATGAGATTCTTCTACCTTCAATTCCTTAAGTGCCTGGTTCTTAGCAAGAAATTGGGGAATGGATTACAGGGCTACTATTCGGGATCATAGGGATCCATTCCCCCATTCCCTACTAAGAACTGGGCAGTTAAAACCTCAACCCGAAAACCTGTGACATGCCTGTCTTAGTGAAACCTCGGCACCGAGCACTGCACAGTTTTGGCCTCAACAGAAGATAAAGCTTTAATGTTTACGCTAAAGCGCAATGCTGTCAAACACTCACCCCACATAACGCGCCTTGTTAATAACTGAACTAAGGAACGAAGGTAAGTGCGAGATGTCCATAATCGCCCTCTCCGATCTTGTTATGAGGCCCCGCAACCTACACCCGATACCCCGCCCTGCTCTCTCAGCCCTAAACCCCTAAAGCCCGACGCCCCCAAACCCCCCAAAACCCTAAACCCTTAAACCCTAAACGCCCTAAACCGAGTCTCATAGGAGGCCTCAGCCTCTGTCAGTAGCTTCTGCAAAGCTTCACTGAGGACGTCGGGACTCCTTGGCTGTGGTGAGCTCTGAGCTTCGGTTTCGGGTTAGGGGTTTAGGGTTTAGGGTTTAGGGTTTAGGGTTTAGGGTTTAGGGTTTAGGGTTTAGGGTTTAGGGTTTAGGGTTTAGGGTTTAGGGTTTAGGGTTTAGGGTTTAAAGGGAACTCCAGAAAGTTGGAATATGGATTAATGGTAGGATACCCTATAATTTACCATAAAGGGCTTAGGATAATCATATTCCAACTTTCTGGCTTTTACTGTAAGGGATTAGGGTTACAGTAGAAGCCCAAAAGTTGGAAACCCAACAGCCTCAATCCTTAAGAGTAATGTATAAGGAATCCCAGCACTAATTGTCCTTAATAAGGTTTCCAACTTTTTGGGGTTGACTATAGGGCTCGAGGGTTTGGATGAGGGTTTAGGGTTCGGGGTTTAGGGATTAATTAGGGATTAGGGTTTAGGGTTTGGGGTTTAGGGATTAGGGCTGAGGGTTGAGGGTTTAGGGACAAGAAAGGCTACAGGGTGAACCGCGAAGGTCGATGTAACTCCATCTATATCACACTTAATCGTGTTCCCCAACGTCCCTCCAAAATTTCACGGCCGAAAAACCCAGCCATTGTCCTTCTTCACCCTCCCTGAACCCCAAAGCCTGACTCAAGCCTAAACCCCAAACCCCCCTACAGAAAAAGCAGGAGAGCATTGGCCAATCCTTGTACTGCGACTGCGACTTAGGAAGCGTCGACCTTTAGGACATATGGGTAGTGGTCAAAATTAGGGTCCCTTTTTGACTTTTTGGGTACCCTAAATATTAGGGTCCATATTATAGTACGGCACCTAATATTTAGGGTACCCAAAAAAGGGACCCTAATTTTGACAACCACCCATATGTTGGAAGACCTGAGGCTAGAACCAGGATAGAGTTCCGGGAAGTGCAGATCAGCCCCAAAAACCGGGGGAGACTTCAGGGACGGGGGCCTACACTCTCCAAGGGGGAAAAGGAGGGACCCTTAATGGGGACCCCTACCCTATATGTAGTGGGCTATATAATGGGTATATAATGGTTATATTAAGGGTATGTACCTAGGGGTCCTTATTAAGGGTCCCTCCTTTTCTCCTTTGATACTCATGCCAACCGGGAATTCCGAGTCCGGGGCTGCATATCTGAACTCTCGCCGCAAAAACAAGCCGCAACGGTTGACAAAAACGGCATGCGCGGCACCACACTAAGCCCCAAAGCCTACAACCCCAACACGCTAAACTCTGAAACCTAAACCCTGAACCCCTAAACCCCGAACCCCTAAACTCTGCCGACGGATGATTGAGGATAGGCACGATCTCCCTGCAGTTGCGGCAAAGGACCGGAGACCCACATCCTTGCAGCATTGATGCTCTTGTGCCAGGACCTCTGCATTACTGCTACTGCCACTGCTTCCTCTACCGCTACCGCTGCCAGTACCGCTGCCGCTGCTCCTCCCCACTGCTATTGCTACTGTCACTGCTTCTGCTACTGCTGTTGCTACTGCCACTGCTGCTACCACGGCCATCTGCCGCCAGACATACTTGTACTAGCATCATCTACAACATTCAAACAATCTGAAAACATGCTGGCACACAACGATGAAGCCAATAACACTGTGGCCAGCATATGTCATAAGCATGGCTGGAAATATGCTCGGTCGCATCTCCCCGCTAGTGCAGACCTTCGCCACCAGCAGCAACGTCAGCAACAGGCCCACAAAGCACTGCTGCCGTCGCACCATGGCGGCTTTCGCAGCACAGAGGGCTGAAGGGTGTTGATCCGGGTAGGGCTTAGGGCTTAAGTGTCTAGGTGTTTAGGGTTTAGGGTTTAGGGCTTAAGGCTTCAGGGTTTTAGGGCTTAAGGGTTTAGGGGTTTAGTGTGTTGTGCACTTGAAGCAGCTTTTGGGGGCTTAAAGCTGTGGGGCTCGTGCACTTTGAGCTCTACCACAAGTACTGCAGTTCCAAACCATCATGTCGTTCTGCAATAATGGCGACATGACATGCAAAACAAGCATCGCGGCTGTAAGCTTTCCTGCAGGTAGAAATATTCTGGAAAGCGCCCCTAAACCCTAAACCGGCGCTTCATACAATCACTCAGGAACGCCAGAGCATCAAATATCAATTCACGAATCCGCGCAATCCTACGTCCTGGTCCCGAATTCAGAATCTTAAACCACTTTGAAAGGATGCCGTTGCTTTGGGTTTAGGCGGGTTCCTGATTTCTCCACGCTGAAACCCTAGAGCCTAAACCGAAAATCTGAAACACTATACAGCTCATATCCTAAACCTTAGCCAAGGGCAAGGAACAGGAAGCCCACCTTCTCGAACGGCCGGCCGGTGGCTAGCACCACCTCGGAGGGCTCTGACTCTCTGAATCGCTTAGGGCTTAGAAGTCAGGGTGCGGTAGTGGGGTTTGGCCATCGGTTGCACCCTGCTTGAGATGGTGCCAGGGCGCGAGGGTTGACACCTTGGGTTCGTTGGCTTTCTGTCTTGAAGCTTTAGATTTCAGAGTGCTAGCTTTAAAATCTGATCTAGCAGCATTCATGCGACCAGCACGACCATGGAAGGGTTGAGCCGACCATCGTCTGTCGTACTACTTACATTACTTGCAGCATGCGGATTACTTGCATTACTAATGTTAAAGACGTTGAAAGCACGGCCTCTGCTGCTAGCAGTGTTCGTGCTACCAATATGCCATGGCTCTGCAAAACACTTGTCTGCCCTGCACCGACTATTGCTACTGGACATGTCCAATGTCGTCGCTTAGTATCTGGATACTTCAAGTCACTTCTGGCCGATGAACTGGAAAAATCAACCACATACGCTGTTAGCAATTCAACGTTGTGTCCTGAATGTTTAACCCACCCTGGATATGCAGTGCAAAGTCCTGAAACCTAGGCGCCTAACACTACACCGTCAGAGGCTCCCGCTGGAATGCCTTTTGCCTGGCGGCAGCTATGTGTCTGCATGGTAAGCTTAGTACCAGTTTTTAGTACTAACACTAGGAATAATAAAGGCAATGGTAATGGTTGTTGTACTTGTAGTACCAATAGTAGTTCTAATGGCTGCGGTTGCAGTAAGTGCAATGGCAATCGGAACAGGAATTCGAATTGAAACAGTAACAATAATCATAATTGTGATAATATCCTGAAAAGCAAACGTGGATGATTGAAGGGTCCTCGAGATTCTGTGTCTAAGCAGGCCCTAACGGCAGACGATAACAGGAAGCAGCAGCAACGCTCAATCCTAAAACCCATAAACCTTATAGTAAAAGCCAGAAAGTTGGAACATGATTATCCTAAACCCTTTATGGCAAATTATAGGGTATCCTACCCTGAAACCATATTCCAACTTTCTGGAGTTCCCTTTAAGCCAAAGCACTTGGGTTTGCAAGACACGCCCCGATTTACTGCCAATAGGTAGTAAGTAGACTTATAAGTACCCTAAAAGGGACCCTAATTGGGGTTATCGTACCTATAAGTCCCTAAAATAACCAGTTACTAAGTCCCCCGATGAGGCATCGGTGCGACTGTCAGTCGTCACTGATAGGTTTTGGGGTTTAGGAGTGTGTTTAGGGTTTAGGGTTTAGGGTTTTGAGTCTAGTGTTGGCCACGTGACATTCATGGCGTTTGAGTCGGAGGTGTTCTATCGGTCCATCTCCATCTCTGCCTGTTTGTAGAACTGTACCAGTCTATCTCTACATAGTACGCATCAGCATCATGGCTTATGAACCAATTACTGAGTTTGGGCTCCACCCTTTCGAAAACGTGTGTACCACGCAGTGACTGTCACAAACGTAGTGCGTTTGCAGGTGGTCACCATCTTTGAGTTTCGTTGTTCTCAATAGGCGGCTACGTTTACTTATTGCATCCACCTTGTCTTTGCGCCCAGTACTAGCATTGTCCATCACGTTTGCGACTGTTCAAGGCGTAGCGCTGTTTAATCCGTTTTTCATCCTCTCAACATGTCGTGACCCAACTTCTGCAATGCCTTGCTGCGCCTACTGGCCGTAAACGGCTCCTGATGTCCGCGTTTTGATCTGGAGGGGGGGTTAAACAGAACCGACAACTGTGCATCCTGCAACATCTTATACAGGGATTTCGATGTTTGTGGCGTTGCACGTTCAACTCTTCGAACACGCCCTAAATCACTGCTAAACAGGTAAACTCAACCTAGATCCCACAACCTGAACCTCTAAATCCTAAACCCTAAACCCTAAACCCCCACAACCTGAACCTCTAAAATCCATATGCACGCTAAACCTGTCAACCCTCATCTCAGCGAACCTCCAGCTGCTGCACAACATCACGCGTAAAATCGCTGATGCTTGCACCGTCCGCGCCTCGCTGGACTCTTAAAATAGGGCCTGAAGAGTTAGAATAGGGCTTTAGGGGCCGTTCTACTATGATTATCATAAGCAACCCCCGAAATGGTATAGGCCCCTATAGTTGGGTTTTTGCTTCTGGAAGCCAGGTTAGTGCAGTTTGTAACTCTACAGACTCGACTCCCGGGTCAAAAGCATCGATTTCTTGGATGTCTGAGTACATGGGAGCTTCCGAAAATTAGGGGGATACCTTATTTTGGGGTCCTTATAACAGGGCTCCTGCTATTTGGGGTACTATATTGGGCCAATATTGGGGTCCCCTATTTTCGGAAACTCCCACATCGATTTTGGTTTAGAGTTTCCGGTTAAGGATTTACGGTTTAGGGTTTAGGCTTTGGGGTAGGGTTTATGACTGATGGTTTGGGGTTTATGGTTTGGGATCAGGTGATCAGGATCACTCTTGCCTCAAACTTTCACACCATAAGCCACGCGTGGTGACTTTGTGTGAGGAGTGTGTGTGGACATCTGGTAGCTCCTGTTCATAGGATGCCTGGCTTATCAGGCAAAATCCGTAACATTGCCTCGTGTATTATCGCAAGAGTACGAACCATCTCCGTTATGAGCAACACTGGGGTTATGAGAACCCACTGTTCTTTCTGGTCGTATTCGGAAATCTGGTGCTCGAGGTACCGACACCTACATGCACTAACCTGCTTGAACAGCTTGCGTGTGCAATGCCAGCAGCACGCTGGCAGACGCCTCTGAAACCACCCTAAATCCTGAACCCTAAACCCTACAAAATCACCCTTCGCCCCGACCCGGGGCTAAGTGCCGGGGCCTGGGATACGGACATGGGATGTTACAAGGATGCGATTGCCGATGCCAAGTCCTACTACAAGACACCCAACTCTGAAAGACTGCAAACAAGTAGCTTTCTAAATTGTCATAGTTAGGGTTTTTTGGGCGTCCCTTTCCCACTGAGGGTGGCGTACTATATTTGGGACCTAAACCGGGACCCCGATTTAGAGAACTACCCAAAGCGATGCCCAAGGCCCGGGGCCCAAGAGAGTGCCATTGCCATCCACAGCCACGAGCCTCGCCAAGGCCCCCGGACTTGTTTAGGGGTTCGGGGGTTTAGGGTTTAGGGTTTAGGGTTCGGGGTTTAGGGTTTAGGGATGTTTTGCTAGGTTTCAGAGTAGCCCCTGTATAATCAGGGTACCCTTTGGGGCCTTTATGATTAGAATGGGCTCCTGTAAAGGGTACCATGAGGGTCTATAGGTAGGGGTATTATAGTTCAGCAGAAGGTTTTGGGGCATAAGATACTATACCCGTACGAGAAGCCAGCAGTAATATCAGAATAGTACTGGTAGCTATAATCTGACCCCTACATTAGAAGGGCTTGCTGGTTGAAGGATGGTCGAACTTGGTTTGAATTTAACTGATGGGAGGCCGAAAGGGGGGTTTAAGATTCTTGGGGTAGGGATTCCTTAATATGAACCCTATTATGGCCCGAACTGTGGAGCCGGGTTCAAACAAATGCATGCCACTCACGTTTGAGGGCTTAGGGTTCGGGGTTTAGGGGTTTAGGGTTGAAATTTATGAAACTTGAAACCCTAAACTCTAAACCCTAAACCTGAAACTCTAATCCCAATCCCATATTTGGCACCACACAACCACCTGCTTCAACTCCAAATCTGTTGCGCTTCCGCTAAACACGGTGCCTGCACTCTGGCTTTGGAGCTGCCATGGCTCTCAGGGTTTACCTTAACCCGGAATAACCTACCTTTTTACGGACCTGTATAAGGAAGTCAACCCAAAAAAGGTAGATTATTCAGGGTTAAGGTAGGGTTTAGGGATCCAGGCTTAGGGTTTAGGGTTTGGGCATTAGGCTTTAGGGTTTATGGTGAAGTGGGCACTCGGAAAAAACGCTTGCACTTCGGACTTCCACAAATCATCGCAGGCACAACGAAGCCGCAGAAAGTTTGTGTTGGGGAGGATTAGGACCGAAACAGATGCAGCAAGCCAATGTGCTACCTGACCGTGGCATGCTGACTTTGCTGCTGCCGGTATCTGCATGAGTTCTTACCCGAGAATCAGGTTGTGCGTTTTGGGCCAAGCAGAAACTGCACGACTGCTACCTTCGTCTCTGCACAACCGCCTGTGGCCCCGTATCGTATCGGAAACTTCGCAATCTTTCAACGACGTCCCGCAAATTTGGAGAGGTAATTTGCCCACAGGGCCACCAAGCATCCTGAGCTGATCTACAATGAGGTTCACAACCATGACGAATCTATAACTGATGAGATAAGGACAAGGGGGTTTCGTATCGATGAGGATACCCACACTTGATGATACGTCTGACAGCTCCTGTTGTAGCTCTAACCTCATGGTTCTGCAACTTCTGCTGCCATCACTCCTTTGCTCGAGTCTCACATCTCCCGGTCCTCTGGGGTTCTCGTACCACTCTTCTCACGCATAGATGCCGAATGCACCTGTCGCTTGTATTTGTGCAGGTCGTACGTTCTCCACTGCTCCTATTGCTCCTGCTTCGAAGCAGGATGCTGTCATGAGGTACTACGACGAATGCCCTGTGACCACACTCCTTGTATAACAGTCGCCAATGATATTGCCAACACCACAACGATCCCATTCCAACTAAACTGAGCTTTCAGATCCAGGCGCTGAAAATTATGATAGCACTGTTCTTGTATTTACCGCTGATGCTGGCAGACATCCAGAGCAGAACTGCTTATGTGACTCACGCATAGAAGATGTTCTAATCGGCTGTCATAGAGCCTTGGTTCATGACTTGATTGTTGTATGGCAGGGTGTTGCGACCCGTCCTGCTCAGTCTTTGTTGCGGAAGCCGGCGCTCGTCGCATTTTGCACACACAGCTGGAAAGCACCCCTCGAAGGTCCCGTACAATCTATCCTAGACTCACATAGCTGCAAATCCAAGAACGCACAGCTTGAGCTTCTGCAACCGCAGCTTTGACTTCTTTGTGGCAGTGCGTCAGAACCCAAAGACTCAGGTTGAGGGGGATTCGGGAAAGGTCGCCCCAGCCGAGGGTTTCGGGGTTTAGGGGTTTATGTTTAGGGTTTAGGGCTTAGGGCTTCAGGTTTTAGGGTTCAGGCGCTCAAGATTGTAACGGCACCTGTTTCGCAGCCTACATCCTGCAGCATGCTCTTGCACGCCGCATTGAAGCCAGCAGGACCCGAAACAACCACTCGGCAGGGCTTCGGGCACAAGCCAAGCTCCTTTTGGATAAGTTCCCTGGAAAGTCTGCAATGGAAAACTGCTACACGAGGACAGGATGTCAAAGGTGTCAAGTCTGAGCCTTTGGCATCTGGAAAAGGTGTCATTCCAGCTTGCGCCTCCGTAAGAAGGAGACTCCAGCTCTCTAGCTTGCCTTTGTTACCTAGGCTCTTCGATAGCCCACTGGGGAAAAATATAAGATTACTTTTGGGGGGTTAGTCAGTCTTACCGGAAGCCCAGAAAGAAAAAGCAGAAAAGTATGGTATACCTTTGGGGGGCCAGTTCTTCTTATAGGGAGAAGAGAAGCAGAACGGAATACCACTGAACAGCCTCGTTACACCAACCCAGCAGCTCGGAGGTCATGAGGACGTCGTCGGACCGGCATGACTGTATCAGCCTGATCGAATGCAACATAGGACGTAGGGTGTGGGGTTACGGTTTGGGATTTCGGGTTTAAGCTTTGAGTTTTAGGGTTCAGGATTTGGGGTGTAGCGCTAAACCTTAAAACCTTTAACCGTAAACAGTAAAACCCCAACACCCTTAACCCCAAACCGGAGGCTAGGGAATGTATTGGCCTGATTGGTGCGGTGAGGGCAGGTGAAGCGCCGAAGCATTTGCCCGTCTCAGTATGGTGCAACACCTGTTCAGCCACGACAGTTTCGGTTTTGGGGTTTATATGCAGATTTTAGGGCTTAGGGCGTCTAGGATAGGGGGTTTGGGGGGTTTGCGGTTTAGGCCTGTTCAGCCACGACAATGCCAGTCCCGGCAAGGAGGAGCAGATAGCTAGCAGGGCGAAATCCAGTTTCATTCAACTCCGACTGAGGCACCAAGCTTGGAACACCCAACGTTCTCAAGGGCTGCGATAGCCAGATCCGGGTGCCAAGCGGCTGCCGGCTCAACCATGAAGTTGCCTGACCGTCTTTGTAAACCTTGACCAAAAGGTCGCAGTGACCTCGCTCCCATTCCTGAGATGTACTGATTGGTGTGTAATCACGCTCCACCCATAGCAGTGGACCTTCAGCATTGGCACCCACTTCAGCCAACAAAGTGGTGTGCCAGACCTTGGACCAAACACTTCTTCCGCGACCTCTGGGATTCGGAGTGCCTCGTTTCAGGTCCTTGGAGATGAGATGGTAAATGGCTGAATGCTGCGACACTGCAGTGACAGACTCCAGATGCCAGATAGCATAATTTTCCTGGGTTCTTGTCAAAGAATTTGATTCAAGTTACCTTAATACGGATCTATGGTAAACTATACGGTTTCCTCATTATGGCAACTGAAACTAAACCTTTAAAACAAGAACCCAGTTTCGATGCGGCGCTCAAGGGGGATGTCGGTCAAAACAGCTTCTGCCTCAGCCCTGAACTTGCCTTGGCGGTCTTGGGGGTACAGTAGAAGCCAAAAAGTTGGAAACCCCATAGCCTCGATCCTTAAGAGTAATGTATAGGGAATCCCAGCAGTATTTGTCCTTAATCAGGTTTCCAACTTTTTGGGGTTTACTGTATATCATAGTATAAGTGTGATAAGGAACCCCCACAATCGTATAGGCAATTATTGAGGTCTTGGGTGTCAAGTTTCGAGGGAACCTTGAGTTCTTGCTACACGTGTCAAGAAGGTTCGAAGCTGTTGAATGGATGGACCAGTTACTAAGTCGAGACGATAGTTCGAGCTCCAACCGAAAATCCTCCGGATCACAACAAATCCGCATCACCTGATTCTCGAGATGGACGAGTCCGTCAGTTCGGCCAAGCTTGCTAAAGATCTGCGCAAGTGCCATCATTGTCTCGATGTTGCTTGGAGCCGCCTCCTGAACTCGCAGAAACTGGTCCACAGCCTCCTCCCAAAGACCAGCCTTCTGGGTTCTTGTTAAGGGATTTACTTTAAGGTACCATAATAAGGAAACCATATTATCTACCATATGGCCCTATTATTACAACTTAAAGTAAGTTCCTTAAACAAAAACCCAGCCTTGTAAAGCAACTCACCAAATTCCCTCTGCAGTTTCAATCGCCGCCCGGCGGGGGCGATGCTGATCTGATCACTCATGCCAGCCAATGCCACATTCCACTTGCTTTCCAGGCAGGCTTGCTGGCGAATTCGTGTTTGCCTGGCAACAGCCATGCGCTGAAACATGTCGGCATCATCTAAGTTCAGCTTTGCCCCCTTCGCAGTCTCAACGATCCTCACGCTCTTCTGAACATCCAGGATGCGTGTGAATAGCTGTTCTCTACCGTTTCGCCACACCAGCGCACTCGGAGCTGAATCACATGCCCCCAGGCAATTTGCGGCACTTACTCTGCAATTCTGAATTCCCTTTGCCAGCTCCTCAATCCTGGGTTCCCCAGTCGTCACTGAATATTATTACTACAACTATTCTGATTGCTACTAAACGACTATTAGTATTATTACTGTTAATCACTGTTATTACTATTACTACTGTTGTTACTATTGTTACTATTATTACTATTATTGCTATTGCTATTATTTATTGAAGGCACCTTTTGTTCCTGCTATTGGGTTTTAATAAGGGAGCCCAAAAAGAGAAAGAGCAAAAGCGTACTACTGGGGAGCCTAAACCCGAAACTCCAAAGCCCTTGAAGGGAACCCTTAAACTTTAATTAACCCCTAAACCCTAAACCCCTGAACCCCTAAACCATAAACCCTAAATCCTAAATCCTAAATTCTAAACTTAGGCCCTAGACCCTAAACCCTGAAACGGAGCAAAGAATCTCGCACAGCACTGCTTCAGATCCAGCTCTGCGGCAGGAGTCTGCTTGGCACACGAGGATGTCCGTGCGAGGAAGCATGCGGGACAGCCGACCTACTTGAAGGCTCGGTTATAATTAGGACAACCCCACTCAGGGGACTTATAACCCCAGTTATAACCTACTTACTAAGTCCCATGATCCTCTAAGTAGCAACCAGCCTTCAACGGTTGATGGACAATAAACATCCTGCATGACCCAATATAAGGAATATACCATAAGTCCCATAGTTTAGGGTCCTTGAGGTCATGCAGGATTTTGTCCATCAACAGAATGAACAGTCTCTTAAAACCCTAAACTGCCCTAAACCTTGAAAACCTTCCATGAACAGTCTTTCGAAATCCTCCCCATGCACACCAAACTCAAAAAGCTCGGAACTCGAGGAGCCAACGAGCTGCACTCCCCACATGTTGTGCCGATTGCAACAAGGCCTCACAGTGCCACAAACTATGAAAGTATCGTGTGACACTATGCTGCCATGCTAGTGCTACTCGCTACTGCGAAAGGCCCTGTCATGCGAGTGCGGCACGAAGTTTCAAGCATAGGCCTAGCTCGAACACAAAGACGGTAGCAACGCAGCGACGATTCGATCTTGATTTTGATGACTAGGACGAAGCTGGTCGTTGCTGATACCAACATGGCGGCTGAAAGTTCGCAGGGAGATGCTCGAGGACGACGAGACGACAAGTTGGGAGCAATTTCTGCGATACATTCGATACTTGGAGGATCAGGGGACTTAGTAAGTAAAGCTATAAGTACCCTAGTTGGGGGTTATACGTACTTATAATATGTATAGTTACTTCATTTATGAGCCTAGTTACTGAGTCCCATGATCCTTTAAGTAGTAAGTGTGTTCAGCGATGACAATCACCGTCATCATCAACGACAAAACCATGTTCGCTGCTTTCACCGCCCTCAATACCAGTGTCATTGTCAGCTTTACTGCCTGTATCATTCAGAAAATGTCGATTGGAGTCGACGGCTAGTAGTGTTTTCGCGGCCATTGGTGGTTGAGGGTTTAGGGCTTAGGGGGTTTAGGGGGTTTTAGGGTTTAGGGTTGATACTGAAAACTACTGTGGCTCCAGCCTGTGAATGAACTTCGAAAGGCAGTCGCTTCGCTTGTATTTTTATCCTCTTGCAGTGCTGATCTCGTCAGTGAACTCGTCAGCGAATTGACGTTCCAGGGTTGCCGCATGTCGGCTCTCTTAGTTTGGAATCACAGTTGCTTATACTGCCGGCATCTGCCATGCAGATGAAGGCAAAGGCAAGCGTTGAGCTTCTTCGTGTGCACAACATGTATACGTTTTCGGACAATCGGTGATACAAGTGCAACATTTACTACGTCACACTAAACCGTACTAAACCCTAAACCCTACTAAACCCTAAACACTACGAAACCCTAAAACCCTACTAAACCCTAAAACCGTACGAAACCCTAAAACCCTACGAAACGCTAAACCCTACGAAACCCTAAAACCCTACGAAACCCTAACACCCTACGAAACCCTAACACCCCACGAAACCCTAAACCCTACGAAACCCTAAACCCTACGAAACGCTAACACCCTACGAAACCCTAACACCCCATTAGACCCTGATCCGCATCGTCTGGCACTCGAAATCGCTCGTCGCCTTGGCCCTCAGGCGTTGGTGCTGTTCGGGAAGACACGATGGGAGGCCAAAAGGGTTTAGGGTTTAGGGTTTCGGATTTAGGGTTTAGGGTTTAGGGTTTAGGGTTTAAGATTTATATGGTTACTACGAAAGCACTATAAGGTCGATTCTAGAATACACTAAGGCTAGTACAAGTTTGACGATGTTTGCAACCTAGGATAAGGTCCCATTAAACAGACTTGCAAACACTTGTGATGGGAGGCCAGAAGGGGGGTTTAAGATTCTTGGTGGTAGGGATTCCTTAATATGAACCCTATTATGGGAACCCTAGTCCCGCCTAAACTCCCATAGGCTAAAAGCCCTTTTGGCCTCCTATGAAGACAGGAACCCTAAAGCCCTAAACCTCAAACTTCCCAACATTAGACCCTAAAGCCCTTAATCCTAAAGTTTAGGGTTTAGGCGGGCTTGATTGGGCCTTTTTAGAGCTTAGGGTTCAGGGTTGAGGGCCCCTAAACCTTGAAACCCTAAACTGCCCATGCCCTCTCAGTGTCTGTGGCTCTTTCCCATCCGACCGACAGCAAGAGCTTCGGAGCCGCCCCTTAAAAAAAGGGGTCTTGCTCTTCAAGCTTAAATGCAAATTTCTGGACATGCAAACACGACGTCCGGTTTGGGGGGTTAGGGTTCAGGGCTTCCATCAACCCAAGTGTAAGTCTGAGCACAAGGTAGAATCACAAGGCAACACGGGCTGCGCCTTTCACTCAGCCACCGCTCCACAGTGGCAGAAAAGCTGTGCAGATTTGGGACCACTCGACCACAAGATCACCACTTTGCAAGTTAGCTTGACGTCCGTCTGCGGTATGCAAACGAAACAACATACAACAACAGGAGGCACAATAACAGCAACAACAATAACGCAAGAGGAAAGCAAACACACAAACAAACAAAAAACTTGATGGCATAAACAACCACCAGACAACGACAAACAACAGCAAACAACAAACAACGACAGACAACAACACTGCAAACTCCAACAATAATAACAAGAACAAGAAGAATATCAAGAACAGAAAGGATAACCAAAAACAACAAGAACGATAAGGATAACCACAATAACAAGAATAAGACGGGCAATAAAAACAATGATAATTAGAACAAAAAATAACAAAAAGAGCAACAACAATAAGAAGGAGAATAACACTAAACCAGGATAGCAAAGAACAACAAGAACAAGAACTAGAACACTAACAAGAAGAAGAACAACAACAACCACCACGACCACAGCAACAGCAGCAACAGCAGCAGCAGCAGCAGCAACAGCAACAACCAACCACGACAACGACGACAAGGACGAAAATGACGACAACGATGACATCAACGGCAACGACGATCCCTATGTTGAGATACATTCAAGGAAACTACAATAAGATCACCAGCACAACAAAGAAACTACTGCAACTCGACAATCTCAACAAATCTGCTCAAATCGAAACAATCGGTGTGCATCCTGACACAAGTCCGACTGCGCCAGGCATAGCAAAGTGGCGATGTGTAGTCAGAATTGGACTCCATCTCTGTACTCCCCCTCTGTTCTTCGGCTTCTTGTCGGCAACAAACGACGAGCAACGTTCAACGGTTGTGCTCTTTGCAGCTAGCCGCCGCAGGCTAGGCATCAGTCAGGCGCCATGCTCTTCCGCAGTGGACTTCTCGTTCCCTTTGTTAAGACTTTTGGGGGCTTTCGGGTTTAAGATGTATTAAGACTTTTGGGGCCTTCAGGGTTTAAGATTTACTAAGAGTTTTGGGGGGCTTGAGGGTCTAAGATTTAAAGTTTAGGGCTTCGACTTCGAGGTTTAGGATTGCCTGGACAGTTCCGTGAGTCAGTCCACTGTGCAAGATGCCAAAGATGCTTCTACCTGAGCTTAGCTCACCTGGCAAACTCGACTGTCAAGCTCTGTGTAGCGTTCCATATGCAACAGCGCTGGTAACGCATTCACAGCCGACTTGTGCTGCAATTAAAAAAATCTGCTGGGTCATAGACCCGTGGGCATGCAAGTGGGTGTCCTTCGGACATGCTTTTTGTAGGCAGGGGACCCGGAACTTCGTGCCCGCAGTACAACGCGAGACAAACACTACGCAAGACTGCGATCATGGTTTTATATGGTTACTAAGAAAGCACTATAAGGTCGATTCTAGAATACACTAAGGCTAGTACAAGTTTGACGATGTTTGCAACCGAGGGATAAGGTCCCATTAAGCAGACTTGCAAACACTTGTGATGGGAGTCCAGAAGGGGGGTTTGAGATTCTTGGGGGTAGGGATTCCTTAATATGAACCCTATTATGGGAACCCTAATCCCTGCTAAACCCCCATAGGCTAAAACCCCTTTTGGAATCCTATGAACTTGTGCCATGTGCTCGACCTCTGGGCCGCGGTCAACACCCTATCATGCTAACTTGGGGGCCGAAGTACTTCGAACAGGATTCTGGAGGCTCTTTTATTGTATACTTATGGTAAGGAACCGTAAAGAATACTGCTGTTTAGTGTTTTGGGTTCTATATTGTGCTCAATGAAGGCTCCCCGGCTGAAAAAGTCTAGCTTCCCCAGCAGCCCCTTAATAACAAGAGCCCTCCTTTTTCCTACTATCTACTTTTAACAAGGAGACCCCGCAAACAAGGGCCAAAGGGCACGACTGGGTGGGTTCCCCCGCCATCTCTCACAACTCCGCAGCTTCCATGGGGTCTGCGTCGGCATCCTTCTCACAGTATTGAGAGGGCCTTAAGGGTCTGAGGTTCAGGTCCTAGGGTTGAGGGCTTTGTGCTTTTTAAGGGCTCCTTAAAAACCCCTTAAAGGAGCCTTGAAAGAAGGAGCCCTTAGGGCTTAAGGCTTGGGGCTTAGGGTTTTTTTCTTCACGGTTCAAGGCTTAGGTGTAGGAGCCTTAGCCATCACAAAACCTTGAACCGAAACAACATGAAAGTTAAAACCGTAACAACCACGATCCCCGAATTGCCCTGTAATAGAGCCCTTGTGGTCCGTAATAATATGGTAGAGGGTATTCGGGGGTCTAGGAAAGGATAAAAACCTAGCAGCACCCTTGAGAACTTAACGGGTTTCTTCGGCAAGAGACCTAAAAGCCCAACACCCACAGCCCACAAGGCAAGGAGTAAACACTGGCACCAGCTGAAATGTCTCATTCCAAGAGTCGAAAAATGGATCAACAGCTCTACTTCCTCGCTTTTGTATTCTTGCAGTACCCCTTACAAGAACACTAGACATGCAACCCTACACCCGAAGCTCAAAGTTGAACTAGCAACACGCTAGCCCCGACCACCGAAAAGATTCAACAAGTAGATCCCCTAAGTTTGAACCCTATAGCAGTGCACTTTCTGGGAACGACCCTATGATGGAACCCTATAGTACCCTTAAAGGGAAGACTGCTCCAGATCCGGCCGTTCAAGGGGACCCACTAGTATAGAACCCTGCAGTACCCTCCAAGGGACCTACTTTCCTTAGTACCCCAATAAGCCACGGAAATAGAAGGTTAAACCTTCCGATTCCGACTAAACTCTAAGAGCCCGAAAGGGCTAAAGGTTAGGTACTGGGGATCGGTGAGTCTCCGAAAATAGGGGACCCTACGATAGCACCCTAAATAGTAGGATCCTTATTGTAAGGACCCCAAATAAGGTACCCCCTTAATTTTCTGGAAACTCCCAACCCTAAACCCTTTATAGAACCCCTACAGGTCCCTTGAAGGAACCCAAAAATGATCCCAAAAAGGGACCCCCCCAAGTTTCGGAAACCCCACCGGCATTCTGGGAATCGCTCTAAAGCTGGGAGCCCGGCCGGATGATCGACCTTGGCGGTCAGTGGTTTAGGGCTTTTTGGTGTGGGGTTTAGGGGTTAGGGTGTAGGGTTTAGGGTTCAGGGTGTAGGGTCTAGGGGATTTTTTTTCAGCACCTTTTTCCGTCTGCCCATACTGTTCAAGCCTACGCAGGGCCGAGGGTCTAGGGGTTATAGGGTGCCGGGTTTAGGGGTTTAGGGTTTAGGGCGTAGGGTTTTGGGATGTTTTGGGTGTAGGGTTCAGGGCTCAGTTCGTCATCTCCGTGGAACTAATGTAGGGGGCCTCAGTTAGAATGGGGGATTCGGGTACCTGTGGCAAGGAAAGGAGCTCGTTTCGCTAGAAGAGCAAAGATGCAGAAAGAGGGTTGGGACGGTGTACGGCTTAGGGGTTTGGGGTTCAGGGTACCATGCGGGACCATGCGTTTACCATCCCTTACCTATGACCAAGAATGCAGCATGTCCAGGCTGCTGCAGCTGGCGATCGCACAAACACGAAAGCCGTCCACTGCTTGTTGCCGGGTGGCTGCGGACCAAGGAGGCTCAGATCATTGTACACCAAATGAGACTGAACTATGTGACGGTAGGGATGACTATTCCCAATACAAATCTTACGAGTCAACAGACCTGAACTAGAGTGGGCTTCTTGTGTTTTATGAAGTCAAGGCCATTCAGGCACGACACATGCGACATGTCTGCGAGGCAACTACAACCATTCAACACTTTCCCACAGTCATATGAAACGCCGCTGGACTCCAATGCAGGTAAGAGCACCGAATACAGACAGTTTCAACGTTTTTCAAAACCCAGACCCTCAAGCCTTGAACCCCAAGCTGTGCATCTGGGCCTCAATGATAATCGAGTCGTTCCCTTGGGGATTGATCTCGGTCTTTGCCTTCAAGACGTGAACTAAACAAGTAGGTGCTAAGTAGGCTTGCAAGTCTCCTAAATTGGATCCTAATTGGGGGCATGGGGACTTATATGTCTATAATAGTAACTACTTACTGAGTCCCCCGACCCTCCAAGTACTGTATGGGGCAGTTTGAGGCAGCAGACTTGCTTTTGCCATCTCACAGAATGTCGCCATCGCCCTAAACCCTAAACCCTAAACCCTAAACCCTAAACTATCAATCTCGCAATCCGCCAACCCCATGAGGTCCTGTAAAGGATTGACATGCGGTTGAGGGCATCAGGAAGGTTTGAGTTGGTGATTTCGGTATCCCATGATTTCCCCATGGAGCTCCTCTGTTGCGCTGCCACATTGACAGTGATATTCGCCTATTTCTGGTGGCATGTCGTTTTTCTTGCACTTGCACTCAAGGGACCGGGGTCACTCTTGCTACCTGAATCTAAATCCTACCCACACTTCCCCCCTGACTACTCGTTCACATGCCTCCGCAACGTTGTTGTCCAAAACCGACGAATTGTCGACCTGCTCTGCGACTGGAAAGAAGGCAACACTCGACTTGCCAGTTACTTAAAGGATCATGGGACTTAGTAACTAGGGTTATAAATAAGGTAACTATACTTATAAATACTTATAGCCCCAATTAAGATACTTATCACCTTACTTACTAAGTCCCCTGATCCTCCAAGTAGGGTCTAGAGTTTAGGGCCACCGCGGACAGAAATGCACAGGCGTCACTCAGAGGGCTTTGTTACTCGTGACGTGAAATGATAGGTCTCGGGACATTACAGACAAGCCCGAATACAAGGTTGGAGACTCTTGCTACCTGAATCTAAGTCTTATCCACACTTCTCCACTGATTCATTGACTACTCGTCCACATGCCTCCGCAGCGTTGTTGTTGTCCAAAATCGACGAATTGTCGTCCTGGAATAGGGTGTTGGGGTATAGCAAACTATAATTAACAAGGGACCCGCGAAGCAGTATTGGATAAGGGGACCTCCTAAACCCTAAACCCTAAACCCTAAACCGCGACCCAGGGCTATTGAGCCAAGGCGACCCGATAAGCCAACGTCTTCCTCCCCCACAGGGATCCAGCACGTAGCCCTAGTATATAGGCCCGGCCTTCATAGTTAGAATGGGATTATTTTCTAAGGGCGTGGTTTTTGTTCCTTATTTTTTTCCGTTTTTTTTCTTATTTTTTTTCCGTTTCCCTTGTTTGGTTAGGGGTAGGGGTAGGTAAGGGTAGGGGGCGAGGGGGTAGGGGTAGGGGTGGGGGTGGGGGCAGGGGTAGGGGTAGGGGTCGGGGTAGGGGTAGGGGTATGTGGTGTAGTAGAAGTAGTAGTAGTAGTAGTAGTAGTAGTAGTAGTAGTAGTAGTAGTAGTAGTAGTAGTAGTAGTAGTAGTAGTGGTAGTAGTAGTAGTAGTAGTAGTAGTAGTAGTAGTAGTAGTAGTAGTAGTAGTAGTAGTAGGAGTCGTAGGTGTCGTAGGAGTAGTAGGAGTAGTAGGAGTAGCAGCAGCAGTAGCAGTAGGTAGTAGTAGGTAGTAGTAGATAGTAGTAGGTAGTAGTAGATAGTAGTAGGTAGTAGGTAGTAGGTAGTAGGCAGTAGGCAGTAGGCAGTAGGTGGTAGGTGGTAGGTGGTAGGTGGTAGGTGGTAGGTGGTAGGTGGTAGGTGGTAGGTAGTACGTAGTAGGTAGTAGGTAGTACTAACAGGAGGCTGCAACGATTCCATCCTTGCTTTCTTTCTTGCTTGCGTACTTCTTTGCTTGCTTGCTTGCTTGCGCGTTTGCTTGCTTGCTTGCTTGCCTGCTTGCATGCTTGCATGCTTGCATGCTTGCATGCTTGCTTGCTCGCAGGAGGCTTGCTTACTGGCTTGCTTGCTTGCTTTGCTTGCTTGCTGGCTTGCTTGCTTGCCACGAGGAAAACGGAAAATAATAATAATAATAAACTGAAAAAATAAGCAACAAATACCGCCACCGATTCTTTTAGAGAGTTCCTGATAAAGGCTACTGCGAGGGATACTATAAGGGTGTAGTACAGGTGCACAGGGCTTGTGGGCCCACTATACTCTAAATGTGGAACCCTAGTGGGTACAAGAACGACGAAACACCGCCGGTATGCCGTCATAACCCAGTCGTAGTCTCAGGAACCCAACTAAACTACTGGTTATGACTAACTAGTACAAAATCAAGCCAGCATAAGGAGTTTCATTGGCATGTACTTAGGCCCTGAACTAGACCCTAAAGCAACGTCCGTAACAGACTGAACTGCCAACATGAAGGTCTACGGTTTAGGGTTTAGGGTATAGGGTTTTGGGTTTTGGGTTTAAAAATTCGACGGTCTCTGGCTTGCGGCCCGAGCACATTGTTTGGAGGAGCGTCTTGTGACGTTGCATGAACTGCATCTGCCTCCACGTCGTCCTGGATTTCGCGGGATAAGACAGACAGTCAACCCCTGCCCTCTGAAAAGAAGGCCCCAAAAATCCTTTATCCCATTTTCGACCCCCACCACCTAGACTCGTGAACTCAAACCCTCAACCCTAAACCCTGAACCCTAGGCCTAAACCCTAAACCCTCAACCCTAAACCCTGAACCCTAGACCCTAAAACTCTAAACCCTAAACGCTCAACATTAAACCCTCAACCCTGAATTGGCGATGTCCTTGAGCTTGCTGTGCTTCTTCGGGGAACCGGAGCAGTAGCCGACCTCGGGTTCCCGGTAAGGGTTCTTAAAGGGCTCCTTAAACGGATGTATATAGGGTTCCTTAAAGGGATCTCTAGGGTTTAGGGTTTAGGGTCTACTTGGAGGATCAGGGGACTTAGTAAGTAAGGTTATAAGTACCCTAATTGGGGTTATAAGTAATTACTAGTATAAGTATAGTTACCTATTCAAAACCCTAATTACTAAGTCCATGATCCTTTAAGTAGGGTTTCGGGCTTAGGGCCTTTAGGGCTGGGTTTGGGGCTGTAAGCTCTAGGGCTTAGGGCTTAGGGCTTCGGGTTTAGGGCTTAAGGTTTATGGGCTTATGGCCTTTAGGGTTTCGTTGGCTTTAGGGCTTAAGGGCTTAGGGTTTGGGGCTTAAGGCTTATGGTTTCGGACCTTTAGGGTTTACGACCTTTAGGGTTGGGGGGCCTCTAGGGCTTCGGGCTAGGGAATCGCCCCAAAAGGGGCTTAAGCGGGATACCGGAAGGACCTGCCCAGATCGTTTCAAAAGCAAGCAGGGTTTAGGGTCTAGGGCTTTTAGGGTGTAGGGTCGGGCATTTTCGGCTTTAGGGTTTAGGGCTTTTTAGGATTTAGGGTTTAGGTCTTTTTAGGGCTTCGGGTTTAGGGTGTAGGGCTTTGATTCAAGATAGTCCCAGGCAAAAGACATAAAGGTATACTCAACATCCGGGATCTCGCGAAGGCGGGCTTTATGAGGGGCTTACGATGATAAGTAAGGGCTGAGGGTGTCGGATACATGTGGGTAGCTCTCTAAGTTAGGATTCCTGTTTTATAAGGATGCCTCCCTAATTTAGAGAACTAACCATGTGAAATCAAGCTGCCACCACCGCGCAAAGCCCGCCGAGGAGCCCCAACGAGATGGCGCCGATTCTGCGAAGCAGGCAAGATATGAAAGCTGCGGTGATGCTGGCCAAGCAAACAGAGCCTGAGGCCTAAACCCTACACCCATTACCAAACAAGGGAACCAAGACTATGCACCATGCTGATTTGGGAGTTTCCGAGAACAGGGGTGCCTTATTTTTGGGGTCCTTATTATCAGGGACCCTACTATTTAGGGTACTATATTGGTCCCCCTATTGTCGGAAAACCCCCCATTTGTGCGTGAGGGAGTGCTTTGGGGTTTCGGTACTTCATGCCAGCAGATCACCACGTACCCGAAGGCCATGGAATGCACCGGATACGGTTAATGATATAAATCCTGCATTACCTCAATGATCCTAGACGATGGGAACTATGGTATATTCTTTATTATGGGTAATGCAGGATTTATACCATCAACCGTATCACTAAGTTATCCAAGGGGCACAACTCCAACGACCAAAACTTTCAAATGGCTCTGCTGGCTGGAAGATTCGTCGCTGTCCACCTAAGCCGTGACTTCCAACACCGTCTTCACCTACTTCCCCAGCAGCCCCTATTCAGATTATCTGTTTTCCTACTACTCGGCGCTTTATTAAGGGTACCCTTTTTCCTTACGGTTCGGTTTTTTCTTAGGGAGCCCAGGAAGAAAACGGGCAAAAGGGTCTTACTGGTGATCCCAGGTCGCCACGTGCGATTGTAGTGGAAAGCAACTGGTCTTTTCGAGCTCGTCTACTTGGAGGATCAGGGCACCTAGTATTAGGTAATAAATTCTTAATAGGCACGGTAATTGGGGTGATAAGTATGTACAAGTACTGTATAGTTGTTTTTTCACCCTAGTTACTAAGTCCCATGATCCTTTAAGTAAGAATTGAAGACCACATCCTTAGCACCCATCATCGTCATCGTCATCATCGTCATCACACCGCAGTCGTGTTCATGCGAGACGAACACAACGTAGGGCAGCAGCACTTCTGGGTACTGACCTTCAAGCATCAAAGGCCTGCTTGCAGGATCAGGAGACCAATAAGTACGATTATAAGTAACCTAATTGGGGTTATAATATAAGCAAATATACGCATGTTTATCTCATGTATAGCCCTAGTTACTAAGTCCCATGATCCTTTAAGTACCCTAAAGCCATGTAGTTCCCGTATAGAACCCTCTAAGGAGCCCTTTTAAAGTTACTAAGTCCCTGATCCTTTAAGTGCGAGCCCTGCTTGAGCACCCAAACAGCAGAAGCGGGTGCTCGGAAAGATGCTCGCAATTCTAAACTTCGCCAGAAACCCTCAACCAACAAAACACTGTTGATGATATAGACCGCGCATTATCCAAAGGAAGGAATATACCATTTTTCCCATAGTCTAGGGTCATTGAGCTAATGCAGGATTTATATCATCGACTGCATCAAAATCCCAAATGCTGTTGCGCTGTTTTTAAAGCTCACCAGAGCTGACAAGAACTGGCCTCCTTTTAGGAGAGCTCCAAAATTCTTCAGAAGAAGCAGCATATGGGTAAAGCTTCGAGTATAACTAAAGGGGGAAGACGAATGAAGCGTCAAGAGCGAGCATGAAACAGAAGCAGAAGAAGACAAAGAAACGATGCAAAACCATGCAAGAAAAGAACCACACAATCTAAATACTGAAGCATAATGCAAACAGAAGGAATATCTGCTCTCGGGTCCCGGGCCGCCACCCCCCCCCCCCCATGGTATCCCCCCCCAACCCCCTGCCGCCCTGCTGCTGAACGCCCACCCGCCCTGCCCGCCCCGCCGCCCCCGGCCCGCACCTTGCCTGCCCCTTGACCTTGTCCGCGGATCGGGAGTGTCGCACTATGCCCTGCCGTGTGCGGAAAGTGGCATCTGACGTGAATTGCAATGCTGAATTATGAGGGTTGTATTGCGATGGTGATGGTGGCAGCTCTTCTTTTGAAGGTATCAATGATGAACATGACCACGACAAGGATGATGTTGAGCATGGTATGATCGTCGACTCATGTCCCGGTCTAGAGCAGCACAACATCATGAGCAGTATCACCGGTGCCACAACAAGAGGGAAGACAAGGAGTAACACATAAGAACGTCGTGGCAAAAAGAGTACCACCACAGGCCCCACACCACAGGGGGGGCGGGGGGGAAGGGGGGAGGATACCATGGGGTTGGGGGGGGGAGGGGCTGTGTGGCAGCCCTGCATCATATCTGGATTTTTCTGACTTTCCGCATTGACAAAGCCCAGAAGCCGCACGAATGACGACGAACAGCGTCAGGTGCGATGCGCGACACCAGGTGCCGGACCTCAATGGAGGTTAAGTTTAGGTTTTAGGGTTTAGGGTTCAGGGTTTAGGACTTTAGGGTTTGTGGTTTGGGGTTCGGGGCTTAGGGATTTAGGGTTTAGGGGGGCTTGAGGCTGACAACTGGTGCCGGGATTGAGGCATGATGTCTCACCTGCGCAGGTCAGCCTTGAATCCCGAACGTCCACATGAAGCACTCCAGAAACCCTAGACGCTAAACCATACACCCCAGACGCTAAATCCCTGAACCCCGCATCTCAAGTCTTAAAGCCAAGGATCCGTGCAGGGCTTCTGTCGAGAGCTGTGCCAGCATAGGCCCATTTCTTCGACCCCTGCAGATCTCTCTGGGCCCAGAAGGTTTCGGCTCTAGACCAGTATCACTACTGTTGATGATATAAAACCTGCATGACCTTAAGGACCCTAAACTATGGGAATTATGGTATATGCCTTATTATGGGTAATGCAGGATTTATATCATCAACCGTACTATTGCCATGTTACCTATGATCTCTATTGTTTCTAGCGTTGCTAGTCCATTGCTGTTGACCTCACTCTTGATTTTATCGGCTTGCAACCTAAACCCTAAACCCTAAACCCCTAAACCCTAAACCCCTAAACTCTAAACCCCTAAACCCGTAAACCCTAAACCCTAAACAATCGGAAAGGAACAAGGATCCCAAAGGCAGAGACTTCTTCACAGGTCCAGGCTCTGCTCAGTCCTGGAACCACAATTGCCGGACCCCCCAAACGCATTAAGGTACTCAAAGGGGAAAAGGAGGGACGCTTCATGGGGAGCCCTACCCTATAATGGGCTATATAATGGGTATATAATAAGCTGTATTAAGGGTATATACCTAGGGGTCCTTATTAAGGGTCCCTCCTTTTACCCTTGGAGGTTAGCCGTAGACCTAAAGTCCATGAAACCCGAGCCCCGACCGATGAATCTCTACTTAAAGGATCATGGGACTTAGTAACTAGGGTTATAAACAAGGGAACTATACTTATAATTACTTATAACCCCAATTACGGTACTTATAACCTCATTTGCTAAGTCCCCTGGTCCTCCAAGTACTTCCAAAACTTAGTAACTACACTTACAAGCAAGGTACCTCTACTTGTAATTACTTATAGCCCCAGTTAAACAGTTAGGATACGGATGACCCTCCTGACTAAGTCGCCTGGTCCTCCTTCTAGAACCCTTTTCTTGGATGCCCAACAACCTGGGAAGAAAAAGGGGCTTCCTTTTTGGTATTGGCTAACTTTATAAGGAACCTAGGACTACAAAAAGAGAATAAGGGTACTACTGGGCATCCTAGTTTTAGATGCCCCTATAGAAGCCTTTATGGGAACCCTTTTTTGGAAACTTAGTCCCTGGTCTTCCTTCTAGAACCCTTGTAGAAAACCTTATAAAAGCCTTTATAGGCAACCTTATGGAAACCCTTGTGGGAGTTTCCGAGAGTTAGGGGAATAAGGATCCTTCTCTTTAGGGTACTATGTTAGGGTCCCCTATTTCGGAAACTCCCTTATAGAAGCCCCTACTACTCAAGGCTTCGGGCATCTTCGGGCTGCTCTACGAAAAGAGCAGCGGCGCCTCGTCAAAAAACGCACATCGGTCTGCACTTTGCGGCTGGGCATCAGACAATCCTCGAGTCGTCGGACGCTTTCAAGGCTTATGGTTCAGGGCTTTGGGTTTAGGGTCCGTTGGACTTTACCTACTATAGTCTCCACTGTAGTTCGAGTTTTGCCTCAGCAACTTTACAGCAAAGATCCTAGCTAACCGCAACAGCCGAACAACCGAAGAAAGGAACTACTGTTGATGATATAAATTCTGCATGACCTTAAGGACCCTAAACTATGGGAATTATGGTATATTCCTGATTAAGCGTAATGCAGGATTTATATCATCAACCGTACCATGGAGACATTTGGTAAATTCCAAGGCACCGGGGCTCTAGAGACTTCGGGTTAAGTTTCGGCAAGTTTCGAAGCGAGCTTACGGCTTAGGGTTTACGGTTCAGTGATAAAGGGCTTACTAGGACCCGATACTCCCCGATCCCCGTGCTCTCGACGGCAAATCCAAACAGTCCAACGAGATGCAAATGCGCAGCCATAGTTCAAGAGTGTCAAGTACAAGTAAAGTGACACCGCTTCGCTGGCTAGATTGTGGTAAACGGGCGCAGCGTCTGCACTTTGCGCTGGAGTCCGCTCTGCTTTCAAAAGTGATGCCTCTGCGACGGTATCAGCTATGACAGCTATGCCGTACCTATCACGGTGTGGGCAAACAGGAGGCCTGTCTATAGCTGCAGCAGAACAGAATATGTGGCGATATGACGACACGCTATGTACCAGTAAGCTGTTGACCGAGCGTCTGATGAGAACTTCGTCCTCCACGTCCGTGATCGTGACCGTTGTAAGGCTGACAGTGGAGTTGTCAACTGTCACGTTTGTCGCGTTGTCCGCTGTCGGCATCTCCTGTGAGGTCATGGAACTCCCTATGGCAGTGGTGGCGATCGGAGAAGCCTCTTCTTGCTTAGAAATGGCGGGATCGGCGAGCCTAATGCCTCTGTCTCGGTTGAACTCTGCTACTTGGAGGATCAGGGACTTGGTAATTAAGGTAATAAGTACCCTAATTGGGGTTATAGGTAATCATAAGTATAGCTACCTTATTTAAAGCTCCATGCAGTTACTAAGTCCCATGATCCTTTATGCAGTCCATGCCCATGTCCTGTAGAATGGAGACGTCCACCATACCGGACTGCGCAACAACCTGTAGCTTAGCGCCAGCAAAGGGCTTTGGGTCTCTAGGCTTCAGGGTGGAGACTGGCTACGAATCGGCTAATGTAAGAGCCTGCGCAATTTTCGAATAGGGTTTTGGTGTATACTACACATATAAGTACAGTCAGGGATCCGGGATCCCAAAATAGTTTGAGTAAATATTTGGGCCTGAATATTACGAAGGTTTCCTAGGGACCTTTCAGCTGAGGCACGCTGTGTCCTGCTTCATCCTGTGACTGCAGGCTATCGCTGAACTCATAGACCTGCAGCACCACGCGTCCTGCTTGGCGCAATTCCCCAAAACCCTGGACCCTAAACCCTAAACCCGTCCTGCTGGAAACGGTAGGGTTCCTTTGAGGGGTTCTTTCAAGGCTTACCCCAAGAGGTCCCCGTCCTGCTTGGCAAAGTTTCGTGACCTGAGAAGACCAGAGCTCTAGGATGGGTGTGGGTGGTTCTCTAAACTAGGGTCCCTTTCACCTACTGGTCGGGTATCATGGAGACCTAAAGGTTAACCTTTTTGGGTATATCGGGATTATATAGGGGCTATACTACCCCAATAAGGTTAAAGGCTACCTACTCTACTACTAGGTTTAGGGTCCTTTGCAAAAGGTGCCGCACTATTTATGGGACCTAAAACGGGACTCTCATTCAGAGAACTACCCATGTCTAGCTTGGTATTGTTGCTTCAGTCTGTGCTGTTCGACTGCCATGTTCTCGAACAGAGCTTCGTCCCAGCAGCCAATGCCGATGGCAAAGACACCTCGGCAAAAGATGGATCGTCTGCATTCAGACACCGGGCTTCCAGTCCCATGAGGGTTCCTGACGTACTTAAAGGATCATGGGACTTAGTAACTAGGGTTATAAATAAGGTAACTATACTTCTAATGACTTACAACCCCAAATAAGGGACTTATAATCTTACTTGCTAATTTTGGGGCCACTTCTACATCAACTGGACTTTGAAGTAACCAGGGAGAAAACAAGTATAGACTTTTATTTCATAATGGCTCCTTTAAGGAACAGGTACCCCCAAAATAAGTATTCAAACCCCTAAACCCTAAACCCTAAACCCCTAAACCCTAAACCCCTAAACCCTAAACCCCTAAACCCTAAACCCGAAACCCCTCCCTAAACCCTAAACCCTAATAAGTATGGTACTCCAAACCCAGGCCGAAGGCGCTGTAACTGGCGAGCTTCTCTGCGACAGGTTCTCCACTTGCATCACCTGCGAATTCTGGGTTCTTGTTAAGGAGTTTAGGGTTTAGGGTTTAGGGTTAAGGAGTTTAGTAATTTAGCTTTTGTAGCCACTATAGGAATACCTGCGAATTTTGGGTTCTTATTAAGGAGTTTAGTTACAGTAACCACTATAGGAGTCTATCGTAAAGAATAGGCTTCCTTATTCTGGTTACCTAAGTTAAACTCCCTGACCAGAACCCAGGATCAGGATCATGTGCAGCTTTAGAAGCGAATTAAATGAGTTAGTGGCTTAGCGCCGGACGTGGCAGTACGGATCCGCATGACCTTCTTCTCTAAACCCTAAACCCTAAACCCTAAACCCTAAACCCTAAACCCTGAAACATAGCCGAACCCCAGAAACTGCCTTCCAAGGGTTTCGATTCAGCCCCGAGTTTCGGGTCAACTGGGTGGCTGTTGGGCTCCCAAACTCTGAGGTGACTGAGGGGTTTTACAAGAGTTGAGTAATATCTGGGCGCCTGAGCGGCGCCTGAATCAGTAGAATAGGGCTTTGGGATATCTTACATTATAACTATAATCAGGAACCCTTAGAATAGTATTATTGTTTAGGCCCCTACATTACCCGTATCGGGTTTTGGGCTTTGCATTGCCAAGTCACGGCTCTATCATCCGACGGAGGTATTAGCTCCAAGAACGTCACCTGCAAAATGAGCACAAGCGACACAAGTGTCTGGAACGATGAAGATGTTGGATTTAGGGTTGGTGTATAGAATAGTGCTTGGGGGGCATGTTGTACTAGAAATACCACAATAGGACCCCCAAAGGACTACTGGTTTAGGGTTTAGGTAAGTTTAGGTTTAGGGTTTAGCGACTAATCTTGGTTCTTTTTCAGGCTTGGGCCATACTTCGCCCGTCCAGCTGGGGGATTGAGGTACGTCAACAGCGCGCCTCGTCTAAACCCGACGTTCTACGGTTGATGATATAAACCCTGCATTACCCAGAATCAGGAATGTACCATCATTCCCATAGTCCAGGGTCCTTAAGGAAATGCAGGATTAATATCATAGACCCTATAAGTCTTAAAACCCTATAGATCCCTTACGGGTACCCTTATAGACCCCCTTAAGGTAATGCAGGATTTATATCATCAACCGTAGTGCCTGAACCTCCCCTCCTCGGGAGCTCCAGGATTTGGGGCAGCCGGTTCACAACAGGAACCCGGAGACTGCTTGCGATGATATATATATATATATATATATGTATATATATATATATATATATGTATATGTATATGTATATGTATATATGTATATATACATACATAATATGAACACACAAACACACATGTGATTTGTCATGGTGAATGTGGCATACATATATACACATATGGCTGCTGAGGCTGTTGAATTGAAGCCGCCACACTTCTATTGCAATGCTTGCGTGTTGTTGCCGGAGAGCTCCCCTAGCGATTCCCGCGACGTCAGACTATGCACCAAACCAGACATGTGCGCTTATCAGAAACCTGCAGATGAAACAGGAACCAGATTGATGATCAGAGTGCGTCAAAGCAAGTGCGGTTCAGTGGCACTTAGGGGGTCATTCTTACAAACTCTCGGACGCCTTTTCCTTACATTCCGCAGCCCTGAGCTCATGGAAGTCCGAAGCCATTGCAATCCCCAAAACTCGACGCCCTACCCTGAACCCTGAAGCTTAACTCAAAACTCCCTGAAGCACCACACCTTGCCTGACCCACCGGAGTTTCCAATGTTGCGCTGCCCTCGCCACGGAGCATGGCTGCAGCAGCTGCAGCCGCGCCCTCCAACGCTTCCTGCGAGGAGTCTCAGAGAGAGGCGGCATACGGTACTATGATTCCCTTAGGGACTATTAGGGACAATATGTCGCCTTTTGGGCAGGGGGCGCCGTCTTCGGCAGAAGACGGGGCATATCGGTTGCACAACTTACCAGTTAGGTGTGACACGCGCGCCACTCCGTCGCGGGAAAATTGGACAGATCGTACAAACTACTCATCCGAGTGGGAGCCCAAAACCCCTAATCCCAAAACCCTGTACCCCCATAGATCCCTTATCCTATAATTAGACCTTTTATAGATCCCCTTTTTGACACACTTTAAGAAAGTGCTTCAAGGCGCCTGGCCTCCCCACCCTATAACCTCCCCTCGAGCGCCAAGCAACGGAGATGAGTGAGAAGGGCGACGCGTCAGCGTTGATCCTCAGTCCACGCAACGGCTCTGATATCTGAAAGGACAGTGCAACAGAAATTTCTAAAGCCTTCGCCCAGTGATCTCATGAGCATGTGAGTGTTCCCACTGATTCCACCTAACCCTGAATCCTGCCGGGAACGTGCCCTAAACACTAAGCACAGATACAGAGGTACGCTGAAGAGGCTTCTCACTTCACTTCGTGCGCCCCTGCGAATCTACGACAGGGCTCCAAACCTGCTGAGGGAACGGATTTAGGCCTGAAGATTTAGGGCTTTAAGGTTTGGAGTGTAGGGTTTAGGGTTAACTACCCATCACGGCACAATGCAAGCTTCTCTGCACAGCTGGTGTTTCTGGTCGTGGTCGCGTGTGTCTAGGAACACATGCAACGAGGAGCATTATACATGGAGGCATATGCTCCTTAATCACAACAGGGGGTCCTTGGGTACGAGTCCAAAACTCAGCAAGGGAGCTCACCCAGACCTTCCAAGATCCATTCATTAACGAAACTACCTTACATAACCCAGGATCCCTAATATGATTTAAGGTATGTTCCTTAACTAAGGGATTTGGGAAGGTCTAGGTACTCTTCAATTTGACAAAGCAAGCATAGCTCAAACAATCAAGCAACGTTGTCGTGGAGGTCGTCGCATTGCGATTCCGCCTTCCCTGGAGCCCGCATCGGGTCGGCATACTTGAGGGTTGAGGGTTTAGGGGTCTAGGGGTTCAGGCGCTTAGGGTTTTGCGGTTTGAAAGTTTGGGGTTCAGGGTTTAGGGTTCAGTGCATAGCTTTAAGCCTTTATGGACCGGGTCTCATGTGTCGGAACTGCACAGGTCTTAGAGTCTCGCGTTCAGCGTTTAGCGTTGTAGGATCAGATCTGGAGACTCGTGGACGCCTGAACCTGAAAGCCGAAACCCTATAAGTGGGTTCTTGTTAAGGGAGTTCATTTAAGCTACCATAATAAGGAAACCATATTTTTTGAAGGGAATTCATTTAAGCTACCATAATAAGGAAACCATACTATTTGAAGGGAATTGATTTAAGCTACCATAATAAGGAAACCATATTATTTGCTATAGATCCCCTATATGGTATCTTAAACAAAAGTCCTTAACAAGAACCCAGCAAAGCCTAAGCCGTCCAGGGTGGGCTTCTTGCCATCAAGGGGAGACGAACCCTGTGATGTGGGTCCGGTATAGTACAACTTCAAGATAAACCTAAAGGGAACTCCAGAAAGTTGGAATATGGTTTCCGGGTAGGATACCTTATAATTTACCACAAAGGGCTTAGGATAATCATATTCCAATTTTCTGGCTTTTACTTTAAGGACGTAGTCTTACTGATTCTTGAGGCTTCTACAGTACAATGAGCCCGACTGATGAACCCAAGGAAACAGTCTTACGAGTTATTGAGGCTCCCATAATACTCAGTATCCCCATGCTTCTCGGGAACAGGGGTCTGAAGCGTGCAGCAAGGATCAGCCGATCAGGGTTTGAGGCTTACCTCTGAAGCAAAACCCCTCAGCTGCTGGACCCCCGATCGCCTGGGCCTAAGCCTCAGCCCAAAGCCTCAGCCCCAAAACGCACCCTTACACCGATCTCACACATGGGAGTTTCCGAAAATAGGGGACCCCAATATAGCACCCAAAATAGTAGGATCCGTATTTTAAGGACCCCAAAATAAGGTACCCCTAATTTTCGGAAACCCCCATATCCTAAACCCTATAGATCCCTTTAAAGAACCCTTAAAGGAACCCTTATAGATCCCTTTAAAGGTACCCCTAATTTTCGGAAACCCCCACATAGAAGGAAGGAGGGAAGTCCGGTTTTGGCATGCAGGGTAAATAGAAGCCTTAAGCCCAAAAGCTGTATCGTAGACGATGCGAGACCCTGAACCCTAAACCCTAAACCTTAAACCCTAAACCCTAAACGCCCCAAACCCTAAACGCCCTAAACCCTAAACTTTCCCTAAACCCTAAACCCGAAACCCTGAACGAAAGCCTGTCCGGAGCGGTTGGATCTGTTGGCGCCAGTGTCGATCTCAACCTCCGTCGTGGCAACGGCAAGGCCTGCCTCACAGTTGTAAGCGCTTGGGGCGTCTTAGGAAGTCTCAAAGTTTAAGACTTTACGTTTAGGGTTTCGGGTTCAAAGTTTAGGCATTTTGGGCTTTAGGGCTTTCGGGTCATGGGTCTTGGCTTTGGGGTTTAGGGTTGTAATCTTGGGGGTCTTGGGGGTCTTAGGGAATGGCTTGAAGGGTTAGGTCTCAAGGAGGGAAGATCATACAAGCTCTTCCGAAACCTCGTCGGCAATAGCTAGCACATGCTCTAACCAAAACTCCCAACCCAAACCGCTAAATCCCAAACCCTCAACCCTAAAACCCCAAGCCCTAACATTCTGACCTTAATAATAACAACAGGGTTTTGGGCCCACTATACTATAACTATAATAAGGAACCCCCCAAAGTACTGTAGTATAGGAAAATCATTCAGGCCCCTATAGCACAGTGACCCCTGAGCTTTGAGTAAGCTTTTTTCCCCAGCTTCCGCCTTTGGGAGTTAGGATTAGGGGGACCCTCGGGGATATAGACCCTCTCAATAAGGTCCCTTTAAGAGAGCCAGAAGTAGGGTTCAGAAGGGTTACCCTTTAAGGGGTCTCCCTCATCATGCTACCCAACCCAAAACCCTAAACCCTAAACCTTAAACCCTAAACCCCCCAGCTTCCGCCTTCGTGTTGACGGATCCCAGGCTCGAGAGCGCCGCATTCATCCCGCCCTTGCCCTTGGTCACCTCTGAAGGGTTTCGGGGTTTGGGGTGTTGGGTTCTATAGGGTTTACGGGTTTTAGGGTTTAGCGTATTGCGGTTTAGGGCCCATACAAGTGTGCAACACTGATGGCAACTTGTGGAAGGCTAGGGGACTTAGTTTAAGTTACCATAATAAGAAGGAAACCATCTAAGAACAAAATAAATCCCCTGTTATGGTAACTGAAGTTAAATCCTTTAGCAAGAACCCCGGTGCAGGGGGTTTAAGTTTAGGGTTAAGCTTCTAAGAGCTGATCCGGGTAGCCTGTTCGGAGGACTTAGGAGGGGCTTGTACCTCGATTGAGAGATTAGAGTTTAGGGTTTGGGGTGTGTGGGATTTAGATGGAAGGGCGCTGTGATTTTGAACGGAATTCGTCCGCGCCACTATACTCCAGTCAGTTCTCTGTTTTTACAACCTGGGCCAGCGGAAGACACTTGTTGCTACGGTTGACGATATAAATCTTGCATTGCCTTATAATGACCCTGGACTACGGGAATTATAGTATATTCCTCATGATGGGTAATGCAGGATTTAGCTCAACGGTATTTGGGAAGACAGTACGGCTCTTGCCAGACTTGCTGAGCAGCCCGACGCGTGGATGATGCCCCGTGGATATCTGATATAGGGGCTTTCATAAAAAAACGACTCTGGTTTCGGGACCCGTTATACTATAATGATAATGAACAACCACCAACATGGTATAGGTAATTAATGGTAGATCACCGCGGGTTTCTTTTAGCCAGCTTCGGAACAAGAGTTGAGCGTGTGTATAGATTTCTTCATGGGTTTGGGTTTAGGGGTGTAAGGTTTAGGGGCTAGGGGTTAGGGGTTAATGGATGCGAACTCTCACCCGCCTGCTGCTTCATCTCCTCTGCGACGGCGTCTGTAGAAACAGCGCTATCGCCTCCGGAAGCGTAAATCCACCAACGGAATTCCCTAGCTATCGCTACCCTGGCATTCCAGATATCGGTACAGAGTTCCACCTTGAATAACTGTTCCACGGTGTGTCGGAGCCTTTGGAGAAGTTAAACTGCCAAGGTGAACATAAGGCATGCTTGGAGGATCAGGGGACGTAGTAACTTAGTAAACCCTAGTTACTAAGTCCCATGATCTTTTAAGTGCCTACGACTCCACAGGCGAAAGGCCCGGTGCCCCTAAACCCTAAACCCTAGTAGCCTAGTAAAGAAAGCACCCCTCGCAGAAGGAGCCCTAGGAGCCCGAAAGCCGATTCTTCAAAGGAGCCTAGAGAAGCCCAATGCTTGCCGAACCGCCACTTAAAGGATCATGGGACTGAGTAGCTAGGGCAAACAAAAAGTAAGGTAACTATACCTATAATTACTTATAACCCGGATTAGGGTACTTATAACCTTACTTACTAAGTCCCCTGATCCTGAAGCTTGAACGCGAAAGCCCCCAGAGAGCCCCAAGCCTTCCACCAGGTGGCTTTGGCTGAAACACTGGGTTTTGTGTTAAGGGATTTAATTTAAGCTGCCATAAAAAGGAAATCACATTATTTAGTATGGACCCCTTTTCTGGCAACTTGAACTAAACCCCTTAACAAGAACCCAGAACAGGTTCACACCAAGAAAGAGGTGAAAATGCATGGACTCTTGATTACGCCTAAACCCTAAACCCTAAACCTTAAGCCGGGCTTGGGGCTCATATATCCGCCGAGAAGTAGAAATGCGCGGCTGCTTCAAAAAAGTTTGTCTGGCATAAGCACAGGGGTACCAACTTGCACAGCACCCTAAACCCTAAAGCCTAAACCCCAACCCCTAAACCCCAAAAACCTCTAAACCCTAAACCCCAAAACCCCTGAACCCTAAACCCCAGACCCTAAACCCTAAACCCCAAACCCGATGAGACATTCTTTGAAGAGTCCCGCTTAGGGATGGCCAAAAAGTCCTCCCGAAACACTTCGGACTTGGTAGTCGCACCTTGAGTGGCAATGCGAAACCTCAGACATCATGGTTTAGGGCTTAGGGTTTAAGGTTTAATGTTTAGGGTTTAGGGTTTAAGGTTTAGGGTTTGGCGTCGGCTCTGGTTTGGCCTACTTCTCCTGTGGCTGGAGGCAGGAGGGCTTGCTGCTTCAGGAGAGACGGCTTCAGAAGCATCCTCAAAGTCTCTTCTACAACCTGATCTTCTCTCAAAAGGGGAAAAGGAGGGACCTCTACCCTATAATAGGCTATATAATGGGCTATATTAAGGGTATAATACCTGGGGGTCCTTACTAAGGGTCCCTCCTTTTACCCTTGGATTCTCCCACTCAACTTCAGCGAGTTAGCAGTTTACAATGAGCAGGATACAGAAACATCATCTCCGTCGTCCTCCTCACTGCCACCGTCAAAAGCGTGGAAACCAACACTACGGCAAGAACTAGTAGAGTCGCAAACTAGCCACAACATCTGGGTGGTTGTCAAAATTAGGGCCCCTTTTTGGGTTTTAGTATGATACGGCATCTATTATTTAGGGTACAACTACCCATATGAACAATGTCACTTATTTGCTCAAGGATTGAGTCGGCACCTCCGAGACGAGATTAATCTAGGGCTTTGGTGTATAGTATACTATGATTTTAATAAAGAGCCGCCTGAAAAAATGGCATAGGTGCTTATTGAGGCCCCTATATGGGAGTTTCCGCAAATAGGGCACCCTAATATAGTACCCTAAATAGTAGGATCCTGATTATAAGGACCCCAGAATAAGGTACTGCTAGTTTTCGGAAACTCCCATATTCGTAACGCAGGGGCTTGGTATATGCCCAGAAGGCTGAAACAAAACTGCACCCTCAATTCACGCCGTCCGATGTCAGTACAGCCTCTACCGTGCTCTGCGGTCCCTGAGGGTTTGGGGTTCAGGGTTCCTTATGTTCCTTTCAAAGGGTTTTATACAGGGATCTATAGAGGAATCTGTAATGGGTCCTTTAAAGGGATCTAATAGGGTTTAGAGTTTAGGGTCTAGAGTCTAGAGTTTAGGGTTTAGAGCCGACAAGGCACGAGATGACTCCCACATCTGTGTTCAATCGGCGGCGTGATCGTCGGGGTAGCTCTGTGCCATTCTGTGCCAGGCGCCGTGTCGCAGCAGTCTTCACGACCATGCTGGTCTTCAGCCTCGGACCGGTCTCACGACTAGCAGTCATCCCATTCCGACCTCGATGAACCTTCAAATACTTTGGGTTGACGAAGGGTGATGTCAATTGCGCAGGCTGACATCACACGAACAAGAAAGATGCGAATGACGCTTGACACCCCCATTTCTCAGTCTGAGAAGCCCCGGCGGAAGCTGCAAGGCACTGTTCATTTGTGCGCGCACGTCCTGCCAGTTTCTGGCAAGTACGAAGGTCGTGTGAGCTCCACAAGTGAGCTAAACCCGAAACCCTACAAAAGCATGCTGCGCAGGCTCTTGACAGCTGTGTACTGAAAGGCCTCCACTGACGACCCCGCGTCACTCAAACGGCGCCTCAGTTTCTGTGGGTCTAGGGTTCACGGGTTCTTTTTTTTGAAGGACCCTTTTCCGTCTCGCTGGGATCCAGAACATGAAGAGTTCACTGGGTTCAAGGGTTTAGGGTTTAAGCTCAACAGACGGCTGCCATGCCGCACCCTTTATTGGAGACGGTAGGTAGCCCTGATGTATCCACCCCTCTATTGATTTCCAGTCTCTATTGATTTCCTGGGTTCTCGGTGGAACTGTTGGGCCAGGCCTTCTTCAAGACCCGTCTCTGTCTAACGCGGCTCAGAAAACGATTGGCACTTCGAACTTTTCTGAAAGTTTTCAATATTCCTGACAATATACATGCATATCTGTGAAACTGTGCATGATATCGCAACTTCTTCATCCAGAAACCACGGCCAACAGCCAACGGTTTCAGGGCCAAAGTATAGAGAAATCAGGCACAGGAAACACTTGGTTCCGGCTTGTCTATGCTTTGCTCCATATCTACGGCATGTATTCTCTGCAAATGATGAGTGTTTGAGTTAGCTTGGCCTGAAGGTTTGGCAAGTCGTCAAGCCGTTTACATCCCTAAACTCCAGACCCTGAACCCTAAACCCTGAACTCTAAACCCTGGACTCGGAACCCCAAACCCTAAACCCTGAACTCTGAACTCTGGACTCTAAATCCTGGACCCTGAACCCGGAACCCTAAACCCTGAACTCTAAACCCTTAACCCTGAACCCGGAACCCTGAACCCTAAACCCTAAACCCTGAACCCGGAACCCTAAACCCTAAACCCTGAACCCGGAACCCTGAACCCTAAACCCAAAACCCTAAACCCTGAACCCTAAACCGTAAACCCTGAACCCGGAACCCTAAACCCGGAACCCTAAAGCCTAAACCCTGCACCCTAGATTTCGCTAAACCCTTTGCCATGCCTTTGGGGGGATTCAGGCAGAACCGACGCTCTTTCAGGAAGGCGAAGGGTTTCCATGATACTGTTGATGATATAAATCCTGCATTACCCATAATAAGGAATATACCATACTTCCCATAGTTTAGGGTCCGTAAGGTAATGTAGGATTTATATCATCAACGGTAGTACCGGTTTAGGGCTTAGGGTTTAGGGTTTGGGCCAGGGATAACTGTACTTCATTGCGAACTGCCCAATGCAACTCTGCAAAGAGTCTGACTGTTGTTCGACAAGGACTCTCTGGCTCAAGCATCCTGGTAACCTGGTAACAGAGGATTTGACCATGTCTAAGCCTTCACATGGGTTGACCCCTCAACCCGAAACCCTGCACCCTAAATCAAAACGGGACCGTGCCTGTACGCCATATCAATCTCCATGTACCTTGGAACAGGGTCCCTAAACCCTGCGAGAGCATCGAATGAGGTCTGATTTTTAAATCTTGGGTGCCTCTGCAATACCGTTATTACTTTCAATACTTTTACTGTTGTCAGTATTATGATTACTACGACTATTTCTATTACTGTCGCTATGATGATGATGATGATGATGAAGATGATGATGATGATGGTGATGATGAAGATGATGATGATGATGGTGATGATGATGATGGTGATGATGGTGATGATGGTGATGGTGATGATGATGCTTATTGTTGATCGTTGTTTTTTAAATTACTTTTGTCTTGTCATTATTGCAACGGTTACGTATTGGTATTACGCTTAAGATTATGGTCATTATTGCTATGTTTATGGATAGTTTTCTTGTTTTGGTTAAGGACTATGAGTTTTATTATCATGATTGTTACTACTCCTCGTTTCATGATTATTCGTATTATTCGTCTTTTCCCTATTCTTATTCATATTCTATTCTCGTTAATATTGCTATTCTTATTCTTAGTCTTACTCCTATTCCTGCTTTTATTCGTATGCTTTCTTGTTAGTATTCTTATCATTATTATTCATCCTCTTCTGATTCTTATCGTCACTATTATGATTACTATCGTTATTCACCCTCAACTTCCAGCTCACAATCGCTTCGTAAAAGTGGTCTAGGATTTAGGGGTTTAGGGTTCAGGCTGTTAGATTGCGTAACCGTACATGGCCACCCTCTGTAAGACATGCATCACTGTTTGTGCGGCTTGAGCTCGCTCGTCTGCTCGCTTCCCGGATGTTGAAGGGTTTAGGATTTAGGGTTTAGTGTTTTTTTGAAGGCCTTTTTGAGTCCGCCTGACAGAATCTGACAGCCTCCTCAGTGCGTATCGGGCAGGCTTACTTCCAAACCCTTCGCTTCCCCCAGTTGTTTGTGGCGTACTTGTCTTCCCAGTCGCTCAACACCCCCGAGTTCCAGGTCACACTCTGCTACTTGAAGGCTCATGGGACTTAGTAAGTAAGGTTACAAGTAGCTTAAAATTAGAATAACCCCACTTAGGGGACTTATAACCCCAATTATAACCTACTTACTAAGTCCCATGATCCTCCAAGTAGGGTTTAGGGCAGGCAACAGCAGATAGAGTTCCTTGTTTCCTTGTTTGCCTGCTTCGGGGTCTCACGTGCTATGCCCCTTGCAGAACTTCTCAAATTCGTTCGAAGGATGTGTGCCATGTGTTGATGGCATGCAAATACACATCGGCGATTCCCGGCTCCAAAGAATCCAGAGCGCATATTATGTTTCGATCTCGAATGCTGGACAATCTCACCAAACTCCTACGCAAGGATCATCCTTACGCATCCCCCCGTTTCGGGGTATGCTATACTAGACTTCTCATAACGGTTGATGATACAAATCCTGCAGTATCCATAATAAGGAATATACCATAATTCCCATAGTTTAGGGTCCTTAAGGTCATGCAGGATTTATATTATCAACCGAAGTACCCCCCAAAAATGGTCCTGGTAATGGGTTTAGGGCTCCTAGAGTCAGATCCGAGGTCTGGGTTCTGATGCACTCACCCTAAACCATAAACCCTAAACACCTAAACCTGGAAACCCGAAACCCTCAACCCGAAACCCTAAACCCTAAACACCTAAACCCGTAAACCCCTAAACCCTAAACCTTAAACTTGTCCAAGCGTCATGTCAGAGGACTGATGGTATGTGATCATGCCGGCACCGTACCCATACCCGTAGTGATACCAGCGGGTGTAGCCATAGCCATATCCGACATATCCAAAGCCATATCCATTGCTGGAGAGAAGCGCATATGGATCCTGACGGACACGAGCTCTCCCGCCATATTGCTGCGATTACCGCAAACCCTAAACCCTAAACTCTCTGCCCGGACTCATCGCGACTCATGCCTGAACCCTGTCAACACCTCAGCCGATTTGTCAAACTTGAGAGACGCAGCACTTGGTTCAGGATGTTACCTGTTTAAGTTGGGTTGGGGTACTGGGCATGTAGAGTAAACCGACTATGTACCCATATTGCAAACATCATAAGGATACTATGAAGGGCCTTATCTAGTCATATTAAATATGCTATTCAACTCTCAACGGTTTAACCCTAAACTCAGGGCTTAAGCCGCCCACCTCCGTCGGCGCCTAAGCGATTCTCCCCGCAGCCATGGGGGACTGGTAGTATCCACATCCCGCCCGATACCCCCTGCCCGTCCCGCACAGGCAGGTAGGCAGGCAGGCAGCAGCTGCCCCTGAGGGCAGGCCCCTGCTGTCCCCTGCCCCTGCCCTGCGCTCTGCCAGTTGCTGCATTAACAAGCTTCGAGTAAAGGAGAGATTCATGGAATGAGTTTAGAGCCAAACTCCGACAGGAATAGGTTGGTGGTTTGGCCGCCTCAGACGGCGTGGGGTGGGAAAGAAAAAGAAGGAGCCCAGGCTCCAGCGGCCAATGCGGCCAATCGTCATGATGCACTCGAATGTTCACTTTGGCAGGATATTTCCGCTTATGCGCTACTCTACCGCAAGCCCTATTAGCCTAAGCCCTAAACCTTAAGGGTAGCCCTGGGCTGTTGCAAAGTCGCGCCTGGCAAGTGTCGAACACTGGGATGATTGAGCCGGTCGGACCTGCAGTGGAAACCCGCCGGACGCTCTGGACCCTTAGGCTTTATATGTGTCCTGTGGCATGCCTCACGACCAAAATGCGAATGATCATTCTGATGACTGACATAAACATCGCGACGATCATGCCAGTCGGTTGTTGGTTCCACGTCTGCTAGTCCACATGTCTTACCAAAGTTGAAGGAATGCCGAAAGCATTCCTTGATTCAAACCCTAAACCCTGAAGCCTAAACCCTGAGCTATGTCGGTCTGGCCGTAACATGCCGTAACCCCATTCAAACATTCCCAATGGTCAGTACTTGGAGGATCAGAGGACTTAGTAAGTGAGGTTATAAGAACCCTGATTCTTGCAATCAACTATCTCAAGCTCCTCTCCAGTTGCAGAATGCTGAAGACTTCCGACGAGGCATGTGCAACCCTGTTCGGCGCAGCTGTCACAGAAAGCGGTTTTCAAGCTGACGGCGCCTGCGGCTGGTTTGAGGTTAGAGATTCAGCAACCAGCTTTTCACAGCTGGTACTGCAAAAGAGATGAGCAACTCCCCTGCAGGCATGAAAAACCCACCACTCCAGCACTGGCACTGCAAAGAGCCGAAAGCAAAAACCCAACGAAGTCCTTCTCCCTCAGGCCCAGTTGCTAACTCAACGTGCACAACCATTGTTGCTTGGCGAAGGCGACAATGAATTGAAAAGACGCCCAATGTCCATTCCACAGAGGGCACGCACCCGGTGTGCAGCGCGGGGGGCACAGCCCGCGGCAACCCACGTCCCAACTGATCGTCACCGACCCTGCATCCAGGTCAGTTCCAACATGCTCCAGAAAGAGCAAGAAGACACGGACCAAGCTCAGATGGGACAGAGCGTAAACCAGCCGCCTGTACTTGAATTCGCCCTTGTGGGAAAACTGCCCGTCGCAAAGTCAAGAGGTTGAAAGGAAAGCAAAAAGCAAGCTGAGGCCAAGAGAAGCAAAGGCCTGGACAAATTCGCGGCCAGCCTGAAGCCTTATCCAATCGAAAGGTGGCCAGATTTGCTCCTCCCAACAGCCACCAGAAAGCAGGATGCAATGTATACTCCCGCCAACGAAAACGACCGGAGCCCTTTCAGAGCTGTACATCACGCCAACCAAGAAGTCGAGGTAGAAAGAGCTTGTTCTCGAACCCAACCATGGCTGGAGCCGTTAAAGAAAAGGGTCGGCATTGCAAGACTTTGCTGCTTGAACAGATATTTTCAAGCACGGATGCACATGCTGAGGCTTGATATCGAAGCTTTCGACTTTCCGTCTACACCGTCAGAAGTTGGAGGCGTTTCCCGCAAAGGCCGTTCTGCAAGAATACTCCCTTCATTCGAGTAATAAGTATTATAAGTATAGTTGCCTTGTGTATAACCCCAGCTACTAAGTCCCATGATCCTTTAAGTAGACAGTGTGGTATCCAGTGGTGGTAAGCATGATTCCGAATATTGTTCCTGAGGGTTCCTTATTCTGCCTGTAGTTGTAGCACAATACTAGTCTGGCGCAAACTCTTTTCTAATTGGGACAGGGGTGGTTTCCTCCGGCCAGTGATCAGCGGCGCAGGAATGCAACGGCTTAGGGCTAAGGAGGTTTTTCAACCTTATAAACCCGAGGTCCTAGCCCTAAGCCATAAGCCACCTGATCCTGGAGATAAGGGTGCTGCTTTGTTCGAAGATCGGCGATCATAATGTAGCGGCCATACAAATTAGAATGGAGTTGCGGGCTACATTAATCCTAAGCCCTAAACCCTAAACGCCTAAACCCTGAGGAATATTCCTGGTAAGTCTTCAAGCGTCTACAGTATGACATTGCGGGATTATGCTGAGCCCTAAACCCTAAACCTCCAAAACTCAAGGCTGGGTGAGGGGCCACACAGAAAGGGGGTGTTCGTCTCTTACCGCAATACTACAGAAAACGACCGGAACGTGCCCAAAACTAACAGAAACTCAGAAAGCCTTCCAGAGATTGCCGTAGAGTTCTGGAAACGGCATCAAACCGTGAGAAACGACCACCGACTTCTCCAAACCCCCCATCCTTAAGCCCACAACAATGACTGCACATGGGAGTTTCCGAAAACTGGGGACCCTAATAGAGTACCCTAAAAAGGAAGGATCCTTATTATAAGGACCCCAAAATTAAGGTACCCCTAATTTTCGGAAATTCCCACATGGGATTCAAGCACTTTACGGAGATGAGGGTCTCTGCGCCTTGGAGTTTAACATGGGAGTCTGAATGATTAGAGCAGGGCTCCTTCAAAGAGTGTCTAAAGAGCTTCTTATCAGGGGTGCGATAAGGGTCGCGACAAGGGTCTATTATGGGAGCTGTAGCCATTTTTAGTGTGCTCTTGGGTTATACTAGAATAGAGTTTTAGTAAAGCTCATTATTCAAGCTTCTGTATGAAGACCCTAGCTTGAACCGCATGGAAGTCGATTCCGAGAAGAATACACGCCCCTAAATTCAAGCAGAACACAACCCGAAACTAAACCATAAAAGTCAAACTCTTAACGCTGAACCCTAAACCCAGAACTCTAAACCCGAAACTCCTAAAACTGCCGAAAGCGCCGCTGAACCATTTGCATGGGCGCTCGAGGCTCCGACCGATGCCCCGGCCGAGCGTCCCGTCAGAACGGTGAGGGAGGGTAAAGCCTCCCGGTTTTCGGGGACTGTAGTGACGCCGCCCCGCGAATTGACCCTCTGCCGTTAGGCAGTAAAGATAAACCCCAAATCCCTCACGATTGAGGTGGCTGTGCCATTTTTGGGGGGTCTGGAGGGTACCCCAGGGGTCTGGGGCCCCGATTCCAGGGACCCGGGGCGTCCTGCCCAGTCTGAGAGATTGACCCGCCAAATTTCCTCCAAAACCTGCCTCTGCCTGCCCTGCCCTCCGTGCGTGCTCATTTTTGCGACGTACGGTGCGGTCGGGACGCACCGACCCGCATCAAATCGACGGCAATAATGTCCGGGATCAAGTTGTAATATGCGGAGGAGCAGAGAGCAAGAAAGCCGCCCTTGAGGGGGTTTGATGGGTGAACCCTAAACCCTAATTGGAGAATAGTTCGGGTGGTTGGGGCAGGACTACATGCTGACGCAAGCACGCGATTAGTGGGCGCGCCCCCTATTCCTAAAGTAAAAGGCGCACCCACTGTCTACACACCCTAAACCCTAAACCCAGAACCCTGAGCCCGAAACTCCTAAAACCCTAAACTCTACACCCAAAGCTCCTGGACCTCATGGATCCCCTTAACGGAACCCTAAGCCCCTTTTCAGATCCCTTTAAAGGAACCCACAACTCCGGAACCCTGATCTCCTACTTAAAGGATCATTGGACTTAGCAACTAGGGTTATAAATAAGGTAACTATACTTATAATTACTTACAACCCCAATTAAGGTACTTATAACCTTACTTACTAAGTCCCTAAACCCTAAACCCTATACAACCCCAATTAGGGGGACGTATAAACTTACTTGCTAAGTCCCCTGATCCTCCAAGTACACCCTCGGGCCCCTGGCATCTTTGCATGTTGAGCCCGACTGGGCATTCACCATCCTCACAACCTGAGCTCGGATCGGTTTGCAGTTTAAGCCTTTAGGATTTTAGGGTTGAGGGTCTTTGGATTTAGGGTTTAGGTTTAGGAGTTTAGGGTGTATTAGGGTTTTCTCGCTGACATTCGCCATTCCTACCTGGGAAATAAACGGCGAAGGAGCGTTCGCACGTGCTTTATGGTTGGTTGTGGCATCCGAGAGTAGGAGCAAGCTTTACGAGACTCCAGGTTGCTAGTGGGAGCAGCCAGTATACTTGGAGGATCAGGGGACTTGGTAAGTTAGGCCATAAGTACCCCAACTGCGGTTACGAATAGTTATATGCATCGTTGCCTTATGGATAACGCTCGTTGCTGAGGCCCTTGATCTTTTAGGTAGGGGACTTCATAATTCAAGAAGGGTTTGGGGTATCTTGTACGACGTATTAAAAGGATACGATGGCTACCGCTTTCAATCCCTACATTGCCGATGGAGGCCTTCGCCGGGTAGGGAAAAGCTGCGGAAATGTAGCGAGACGGCAAAAGGACCGACAACGTCGGAGGCTAGTTGTGTTTCTGTGGTTTGGGGAGGAAAGCGAGATCTACCACCCGTGATGGGATATAAACAGAGCGGACGAACAGCGCAGAGTTCACAAAGTAGGGCCCAAGCCTCTACGACACATGGGTGAACAGAACACAAGGGCACATCGACACACGCCTGAGGAACAGACACTATACCCTGAAGCCCAAGCCCTAAACCCCAAACCCGAAACCTAAACCCTGAACCCCAAACCCAAACCCCAAACCCAAACCCCAAAACTAAACCCTGAACCCGAAACCCCAGACCCCAAACCCCAGACCCCAAACCCTGAACCTAAACCCTAAACCCTGAACCCCAAACCCCAAACCTAAACCCCAAACCTAAACCCTGAACCCGAAACCCCAGACCCCAAACCTAAACCCCAAACCTAAACCTCAGACCCCAACACCCAGACCCCAAACCCTGAACCTAAACCCTAAACCCTGAACCCCAAAACCCCAAACCCCAAACCTAAACCCCAAACCTAAACCCTGAACCCGAAACCCCAGACCCCAAACCTAAACCCCAAACCTAAACCCCAGACCCCAAACCCCAAACCCCAAATCCTGAACCTAAACCCTAAACCCTGAACCCGAAACCCCAAACCCCAAACCCAAACCCCAAACCCAAACCCTGAACCCCAAACCCCAGACCCTAAACCTAAACCCTAAAGTAAAAGCCAGAAAGTTGGAATATGATTATCCTAAACCCTTCTATGGTAAATTATAGGGTATCCTACCCTGAAACCATATTCCAACTTTCTGGAGTTCCCTTTATGCCCTCTAAACCCCATCGCAAGCTCCGTTGCAGCCCCAGGGGGCTGATGAACTCAGACATAAAGCTCCCGTCGTCATTCAAGTTCGTCCTACGGTGGATCCTAGGGTTCCTTTGAAGGGATCTATAAGGGGTACCTTTAAGGGGCTCCTGTAAGGGCTCTATAGGGTTTAGGGTTGATGATATAAATCCTGCATGACCTTAAGGGCCCTAAACTGTGGGAATCATGGTATATTCCTTATTCTGGGTCATGCAGGATTTCTATCATCAACAGTAGGACTACTCTAGCGGGTTTAAGGTTCAGGGGACTCTAGCGGCCTTGATAAGAAGAATAGGGCTCCTTTAAAGGATCTTATGAAGGGCCATTTCAGGGCTCTATAATAGGGTTCTCGAGGTTTAACCTACCATAATAGGGATCTATACTAAATCCTAGGACTACTCTAGCGGTCTCGATGATTGGCACCAGAATAGGGTTTTGGGGGCTGTTGGGGATATATTATACGATAATTGCAACGAGGAACCCCGATATAGTGTTGGTAAGTATTTAGTTTAAGCCATTCAAGCGTGGAATCGCAAGTGTCCTGAATACCTGCATCTTGCTGCCAAGGGTCGTGACGCATGTCTGCTTCCACGGGTCCTGTTGTGCCAATGCTTGTAATCTGTGTGATGTGCACGCCACAACGAGGATTTCGACCAATGAAACTACATATTAGGGTTTAGGGTTTAGGGTTTAGGGGTTTAGGGGTTTAGGGGTTTAGGGTTTAGGGGTTTAGGGTTTAGGGGTTTTAGGGTTTAGGGGTTTAGGGTTTAGGGTTTAGGGTAGCCCACCTCCACTGCCCGGGACTGTCAAGATACGCCAGCCCCAACTCCCGCTTCCCCGAGGCTACAGGTTTAATGGGTTTAGTGCGGGCTTAGGGTTTAGGCTTTAGGGTTTAGGGGAGGGTTTGGGTTGGGGGGGATCTTGAGATTAGAGCTCAGCATAAAGCACGGTGCTCTGGCTAGGCTTTGTGAGGCTGTTCAAGGCTCATGGTGTTCGGGCTTAGGGTTTGGGGCGTAGGGTTTAGGGTCTGCCACACGATAATTCAGCAAGCGCAATAAGCGCGGCAAGAGCGATTAACAGTATGACAAGCAAGCTTATCCTTGGTTGTTTCATACATGTCTTTTTTGAGCCCTACTATAGACGCCTTACTAATTAGAATATGGGTTTGGTGCCCATTAAACTACAATTATAAAAAAGAACCCCCCCCCAAAATATCAAACAGTATAGCTAATTATTCAGGACCCCAAAGCTCACTGGGCCAAAACCCAAGGAAATAAAAGTTGAAACTTTCAGAAACGACTACCATGTAAGAACCCCAAAAGTTGAAAAGTTGAGTTTATAGCCAATAAGAAAGTAGACATGTTTGGCCAATCTGGGATCCTACAGAAGGCACATTTGCAGCTCAGGCTCGGCCGCGGGTCCGCACGGCTCGGGGCAACTGTTTGCCGCGATACCTAGGTTCAAGATTTAGGGGTTTAGGGGTTTAGGGTTTAGGGTTTAGGGTTTAGGGTTTAGGGTGCCCTAAACCCTAAACCGTTTCCCTCTCCCAAAAACCCAAACGAAGCAAGGCATGACATCGGAAGTTCGACTGTCAGAAAAAGCACTAGATGTGATCATCACTGGGGGTGAAGGTTTAGGGCTTTAGGGTCTTCGCGGCATCAGTAGAGTTGGCGTGCCCACACAGCATCCGTGCCCGGCAACGCTCTTACTTCAGCTGACCGTTGCATCGCGACAACGACTGCTACTGCGGGAGCTACTGCCTGTGTCCTGTGTGACCTCGATATGCCAAAATCAAATTTAAGTCAGCCATCCTGTTGCTAGGCTGAAGTTTAGGGCTTACGAGGTCGTTGAAGCCTACCTCAAAGCCTAAAGCTCTAAAGCGTAAACCACAACTACAACTTGTTACAACCCCAAACCAAAAGAACCTAGACGCTAAACCCTAGACCCCAAACCCTAAACCCCGAATCAAGAACCTGCCAAGGCCCCCAATCCCAAAGCGTCTCTCCCCTCCTAGGGTTTAGGATATGGGCCTAGGGTCTACAGTTTCTTTTGCACGAGGGTCTCGGGCTTAGGTTCTTCTAGGGTGTTCGGGTTTCTTCTTGATCGATTAGAGTTTTGGGTAAGGGGTTTGAATTGCCAGTGTCCTAGACAGCAGAGTCCAGAATCCCGGTGGGGGGCTTAGGTTTAGCGTTTACGGCCACCTTCACAAGGAGACGTTTTTCCAAGCTCTTGCGTCCAGGCCGCCACCGCCCATAAACTTGGGGAGACAGAACTGCTCGTCCTTGGTCCGAAATCCGATATCGGGATTAGGGTTTCTTCGAACATTCTGACGCATTGAAATTCCTTTCTTCGCACATTCTCAGCCAGAAGCCCTAAACCCTAAACCCTAAACCCTAAACCCTAAACACATTCTCAGCCAGAAGCCCTAAACCCTAAACCCTACACCAATGCAGCTCTTGACAAAACAAGATGGGTGCCGGAGATGCCGAGGTCGATTTCTTGTTCCATCTTTGGGCTCCGAAAGGGGCCATGAGTACCCATACGGTTGATGATATAAATCCTGCATTACCTTAAGGAAACTAGACTATGGGAATTATGGTATATTCGTGATTATGGGCAATGCAGGGTTTACATCATCAACCGTAGTCCTAAAAAACATATTTGTACACCAGGTCTCTCTCCAAGCCAACTGTGAAACTACCAAAACTCTAAACCATAAACTTACACCATGCAGGGGACTTAGGGTTCCTTAGAGGGCTCCTTAAAGGGTTTAGGGTTTAGGGATCTATAACATAAAGGTTCTACAGGGTCGCTAGCGGCTTCAAGCCGACTTTAAGCCGTCTCCAACTGAATCATTGATCGACCTGGGCAGTTTGCGTAGTACAGGAGCCTTAACAATTAGAATAGGGTTTTGGGGTATACCACACCATATATAATCCTGGTAAGGATCCCCAGTCTTGATAGTTGTCTAGGCCCCTATGGTCCTATGGTACTCTCAAGAAAGCAGGAAGCGAAATTCATCGAGGATTGATTTCCCCCTGGCAGCCTGTAAGCTGCCCTCTATCGGTGCAAAAAGACTTTTGAACACGGTTTAGGGTTTAGGGTTCAGGTTTAGGGGAATCTTGCCCAATTCCTGCTGCAAGTCACTGTATACGTGTCCCGACAGGAAATCCTCGGATGCAGGGGAAGCTTGAGGGCTCAGGGATGCTAGGGTTTAGGGTACTCATGGTTGAAGCCTTCGGTGGAAACCCACCTGCAGAAAAAACACGACATGGGAGTTTCCGAAAATGGGGGACCCTAATATGGTACCCCCTAAATAGTAGGATCCTTGTGAAAAGGAGCCCGAAACAAGGTACCCCCAACTTTCGGATACTCCCAAGCCCTAAACCCTGTAGATCCCTTATAGGAACCCTTATGGGTCCCTTTAAAGGTACCCCCAATTTTCGGAAACTCCTACATGTGCTTTTCGCTGGATGTTGGATTCGCGGCCTACAGAGAAACAACTTGGGGGCCGAAAAGGCTTCAAGGACTCTCCTTCTGGGAATGGTTTAAGGTTTAGGGTTTAGGGTTTAGGGTTTAGGGTTTAGGGTTTCTTCGCCGAGGGATGCATGAGACCGAAGTCGCGGTCACAGGTCTAGGGGGTTTAGGATTTTGGTTTAGGGTCTGGCGGCCGACATCTGCACCCATCGTATTAGGAGCCTTGAGCAATCCCAGACCTGTGGAGTGGGTTTAAGGTGTAGAGTTTCGCATCAGAGCTCCCGCAGTGAACTTAGACCCCCAGCCCAAATCAACAGATAAATCTAAGTACCATTACTGAAAGGATCATGGGACTTAGTAACTAGGGTTAGAAATAAGGTAACTATACTTATACTTACTTACAACCCCAATTAGGGGACTTCTAACCTTACTTACTAAGTCCCATGATCCTCCAAGTAAGATTTACCTTGCTTTGTGGTCACCATGGCCCAAGCACGCCGAGCAACGCATTTGTACCACAGGGGCACTGCGCACCGAAACTCACACACTGTGTCGTCAGTCCAGCGGCGTTGCCTGAAAGGAGACAGAGTTGAGGGCTGAGGGTAGGGTATTAAGAGGGTTTCCAGGGTTGTGTTCAAAGTTTTCATCAAGGAACAGACAGGTTTTAACGAGCTCTGTTTGACATGGGGCGCGAAAGCAGATGACTACGGCTTAGTACCAGCTCGCTTCCGTGACCCCGAGTCAGCCAGTCCCCAACCCCCTTGCAACGACACGCGGGCCGTAAATACGAACGTGGCGTATTGTACCTTTTCAAACCTCAACCCCCATAGCCATAGCCATAAATGAGATTTTGGTGAAATTTTAAATCGCTTTTCAAACTACAACAAGGAATCCTAAGGAATACTGTCACTGATCATTCCGCCCCTGCCTTAACAATAAAAACGGAGTCTTGGTGTTAATTACAGAGGAACCCCGAAGAATGATATTGATGATTCTTCGGGCCTCTGTTTGAAAAAACAAGAAATCCTAAACTCTAAACCCTACGAAAGGCTCCCACTCTGAACTGCCATGGCCTTCACGTGTGTAGTCCTGCAGCGGGACAGAACAAAAGAAAGGAAATGAGGCTGGGTTTAGGGTTTAGGGTTTAGGGGTTTCGGGTTTAGGGTTTAGGGTTTAGGGGGTTTGGGTTATCCGTTTCAGTGTTCATAGGGGTTCACGGTCCAGGGTTCAGGAACGAAGATGGCTGGCACCGTCCCTACTCCAACTCTGAGGCATGGGTCCTGGATGTCGCACTGCGTTTCGGACGGTGAACATGGGCAGACCAGGTCGATCGTGGACCTGTCGAAAGCTAGGTTGGCCCTTTAAAGCTTCTGAAAAGTATTCGTAGATAGGGTCCTATTGAAACCCAATAAGGGAAAACGTAAAATATCCCAAAGGCCTACTTAGAAAGGCATGCACATCCCCGTGTGACCCAGGAATCACGGGTCTACATGCGAGAGCCATACTGAATGCGGTGACTGCAGCGCAACGGGCGTAGTGCATGCCTAGAAGTACTCTGTCGTCCAAGTTGGGGTTACTCCAGTGGCTGCTCCCTTAGCTAAGAGATCTGCTAGGCTGCTAGGATGCCTTCGGGTAAGGGAGGCTGCACATCACATCACCACCTCGGACACTATTTAGGGTTTGGGCTTTAGGGTTTAGGGTTTAGGCTTTGACTTCGAAAGTTGCCTCGCGCAACAGGGAAGACACGCATCAAAACCCTAATTGCGTCTGATCTTACACCCTAAACCCCACAACCCTAAACCCTAAAAACCTAAACCCTAGGCCCTACCTAAACCCTATAGCCCATAACAAAAAAGACCCTAAACCCTAAACCCTAGAGCCCAGAAAAAAAAATACTCTAAACCCTAAACCCTAGAGCAAAAAAGAAAAAAGACTCTAAACCCTCAACCCTAGAGCCCAAAAGAAAAAAGACTCTAAACCCTAAACCCTAGAGCCCAAAAGAAAAAAATCTCCCTAGGACCGAGGCGCAGGGCGAGGCAGATGCTGGAGCCGGGGCATCTCTCGGTATTTTCCCCGCACCTTAAAGCGAATTAGGGTTTAGGGTTTTAGGGTTTAGGGTTTCGGGGTTTAGGGGTTTAGGGCTTAGGGCAAGTTTAGGGGTTTAGGGTTTAGGGCTCGGTATTTTCCCCGCACCTTAAAGTAGAAGCCAGAAAGTTGGAACATCATTAATTATCCTGGTACCCTTAAGGTAAAGCATAAGGGATCCTAGCACTAATCATCCTAAATCCATGTTCCAACTTTCTGGGGTTCGCTGTACAGCAAACCGGTGTTTAGGGTTTAGGGTTTAGGGGTACTTTGGGGGGTCTCCTTACAGGGATCTATAGGGTTCCTTAAAGGGATCTATGGGGTTTTTAGGGTTTAGGGTCTACTTGGAGGTCCAGGGGACTTGGTAAGTAGGTTATAAGTAGGGTTATAATTGGGGTAACTCCATTTAAGGTACTTATAACTCTACTAATATGAAGCCCATTAGTTGGAACAAAGGATTTAGGATGATTAGGGCTGGGATCACCTTTACCTGAAGGTCAGGAGGAGAATGATGCTCCAACTTTTTGGCTTCGACCGCACCTTACAGCAAACCGGTGCTTGGAGGGCCAGGGGGCTTAGTAAGTAGGCTACAAGTAGGGTTTATGAGTTATAACTGGGGTAACTGCATTTAGGGTACTTATAACTCTACTTATAACCTACTTACTAAGTCCCCTGCCCCTCCAAGTGAGCTTCAAGGCCTCCGAAAAGGGATCAAAAAGGGTACTACTGCGGTAGGACGGAAGTTTGACCTACTCCTCGTTTCGTCACGGACAGGCCCCCATACCGGCTACTCCGACGGAACATTGAAGAAGTATAATTTCAAAACGGCGTATAAAATACTGCGCTGGCCAGGCCACGTAAATCGCACTTCCCGCTACTCCGCAAGATGTCTCAAGACCAGAAAGGCCCAATAGGTCAAAAGTGTTGTCCTCCCGATTTATTAAGGCTTCCTTAAAGGGATCTATAAAGGGTGCTAAAAGGGCCTCTGGCTTGCCCAAGTGGCGCCCTCAAGGGCTCCTTAAAGGGTTCCTTTACGGGTGCTGGAGAGTGTAGGGTTTGCAGGTGGTGGGTCCATCCGTTGTTTGAACTGGGTTCAGGGTCTAGGACGCATCATCCATACGTGTCCTTCGGACAGGGTTTAGGGGGAGTTTGACACATTGCTTCGGGAAAACGGCTTCAAGAGCTACACCAGCGCAGACCCGCTCGAGCACTCTGAGTCCGACACGGGCAAAGTTCAGTCTTTCCGACGCAGAGCTGGCGCTCACCTCCAGTCCATTGAGGCAGTTAAGAAGTCCAAAGCCCATCCTGTATCCCTCAAGTCCACCAACAACTGAGGATTTGAGCTATTTAGCCGAGTTGCTCCTGAATTCGGAGTGGCGGCTTCGGTGCTTTCTTTCAAGAAGACCCCACCCTAAACCCTAAGACATGTAAACCCTAAGCCCCGAAACCCCTAAACCCCAAGGACCTACTCCCTAAACCCCGAAACCCTAAACCGCTCAACCCCAAACCCCAAACCGCTCTATGCACTCTCAGCTCTGCACCAATGAGCGTCTCATCCTCCGAAAAGTCCATGACAGAACCTCAGGAGTAGTTCTCAAAATCAGGCTTCCTTTTAGGAGCCTTGCTGTAAGCCCTAAACCCGAAACCTTGCTCTTTGGAAAGGAACCTGAGTTTAGAGAACTACTCTCAGAGCACCGAAGCAGGACTCGCCCTGCTTAGGGTTTTGGGGCTTCGAGTCATGGGCTTTACAGCTTAGGGCTTAGAGTTTGAGGTCCGTGTTTAGGCTTTAGAGTTTGGGGTTATAGGGTTGTAGGTTTCAGGCTTCAGGGTGTTGGGTTTAGGCTTTAGATTAAAGGTTTGGGGTGTGGGGTTGAGGGTTTCCTCACCTTTTGTTTGTACAAACTCTACACCCTAAACCCAATAATCTGTTAAGGGGATTGAAATAAGTTGGCATGATAAGGACACCATATCATTTACCGTAGATTCCTATTGAATTAAACTCCTTAACAAGACCCCCGGTAACAGTTGAGGCACATCTCTTCTCATCGGCTTCACAAACGACAGGACAGTCATCGCCCTGGCTCTTCGGAGTTCATGAATGTCTAAGCTATTCAAGAGCTTGTGGGGTTTGGCGTCTAGGGCAGAGGGTTTAAGGTTTGGGGTTTGAGTAGATGTGGGCCTTCTTTAAGCCTGACAGCCTTACGAGAGAGGCGCTGCAGCTGCAAACCCCTCTTGAAAACCAAAAAAGACAGCTATAAAACCGAGTCATACCATTGACTTGCTTTCTTTTGTTATTCCGACTTGGACCCCGAACTCTGCAATCCCGAAAAGTTATGCTTTACAGTTTAGGGTTCAGTTTGTCTTACGTTTAGGGTTTGGGATCAGGGTTTGGGGCTCAGGTTCAAAGAAAAGATTGGATCCTGGACTCCAAGCAGAAGAACCCTCCGGCGATGCCCTGAGTCCATGAATCCATGTCCTGAAAGCCAACTCCTGCGAACGCCTAAACCCTAAACCACAATCCAAGCCGGAAACCCGCAACCCCAAAGCCAGATAACCCTAAACCCTAAACCATAAACCCTAAACCCTATCTAAAGCTCAAAAACCTAAACCCTAAAGGCCACAAGAACCTTAAAGCTCCGAGCCTTGTAGATGCAGCGCGAGGTAGTTCCTGTGCAATTCTTGGCCTGCCGGATCTCAAACACATCGGTACGCCTACGATTGGGGTTCGGATCGAGAATGACACCCAAAATCAGTCCCAAAATAGCTTCTTGCTGGATAAGACAATATAGCGGGCTTGTTATGTTTTGGACAGCTCGTAAGCAAATCGCAGATTGCGCTTTCGCCAACGGGTTTGAAACAGGTCACTGACCAGGTTTTTGTCCTTGTTTCAAGCTTTTCATTCAACCCTGCGCCGCCCACGTACCCCATGGAAGGCCTCCTGCCCACATGGGCAATTATCCAAATTGGCCGCACATGGTACAGAAGGTCCAACAGATCCTTGGCTTCGATCGCATTTGGGTTTTGGCTTTGGGGTTTAGGGGTTTAGGGTTTAGGGTTTAGGCATCGCTCAGAGGTTAAGGCTCTGGGCATTGGGGTTTTTTTGGGGTGAAATGGAGAGGCCGATTAGAATAGGGCTTTAGGGTGTACAAGGCAAATGTCATGGTATACCATAAACCCCAAGAAGCAATCTGGGTACTAGTTCGCATTACGGAATTGCCGACAGCCTGTATGCCAAGCAGCCCAGGTAAGTCCCATCAGGCGCATAGTCATCAACCATTGGACATCGAACCTTAGTTGACCCTGGATTCTTGTTAAGGGATTTAATTTAAGTTACCATAATAAGGATCTATAGTAAATAATGTATGATTTCCTTGCTATGGGAACTTAAACTAACTCTCTTAACAAGAACCCAGTTAGTAAGTTGACATTCGGCATGGCACTGCCATAACCAAAATAGCACACACACACACACACTTGCTCGAACCCCAAAACCGCCAAACCCTAGAACCCCGAAACCCTTAACCTCCTAAACAGCCTGAACCCCAAACAAAATCCTACAAAAAAGCAAAGGTGCCTCGCCCTCCTCGCACTCCGCGGGGCAAAAGCCTGCGATTAACGCAGGGGCCTTAATACATAGAACAGACTTACTTTAAGGGCGTTTTTCCTTTAAGAGTTTAAGGTTTAGAAGGGTTTAATCTGGAGCCTTAAACAACTGAATGGGGGGTCCTTCTAGGCTTCTATAAGGGTACTATAAGGGCTTAGTATAGGGTTTAGGGTTTAGGGAATTGGAACAAGGCTTGGGGGTATATTCTGCATGATAGGGGCCATATCGGGATACTGTTACCAATCAATCCGACTCCTACAGTAGGTCCAAGGGTGTAGTGTTCACGTATGAAAATCGAGCGAAAGCCTTCTTGGAAATGCCAGAGGGCCTGCAACCGTCACAGGGTCAGGGCCTGAGGGCCTGGGGTTTGGGATTGCAGATTTAGCGTTTAGGTTTAGGGTCAGGGTTTGGGGTTCAGAACATCAAATTATGAGAGGCGCCCCCATCTCCTGAAGCCCGAATGACCTCATGAAGCAGAAACTTCAAAACCCCCCTCCGTGAATTCAACACTGAAAGGATCATGGGACTTAGTAACTAGACTTAAAAATAGGGTAACTATACTTATAGTTGCTTATAACCCCAATTAAGAGACTTATAACCTAGCTTACAAAGTCCCCTGATCCTCCAAGTAGACCCTAAACCCTAAACTAAACCCTAGAGACCCCTTTAAGGAACCCTATATACATCCCTTTAAGGAGCCCTTTAAGAACCCTTACTAAGTCCCCTGATCCTCCAAGTAGACCCTAAACCCTAAACTAAACCCTAGAGATCCCTTGAAGGAACCCTATATACATCCCTTTAAGGAGCCCTTTAAGAACGCTTACTAAGTCCCCTGATCCTCCAAGTAGACCCTAAACCCTAAACTAAACCCTAGAGATCCCTTTAAGGAACCCTATATACATCCCTTTAAGGAGCCCTTTAAGAACCCTTGCCTTACTAAGTCCCCTGATCCTCCAAGTAGACCCTAAACCCTAAACTAAACCCTAGAGATCCCTTTAAGGAACCCTATATACATCCCTTTAAGGAGCCCTTTAAGAACCCTTACTAAGTCCCCTGATCCTCCAAGTAGACCCTAAACCCTAAACTAAACCCTAGAGATCAGCCCTTTAAGAACCCTTACTAAGTCTCCTGATCCTCCAAGTAGACCCTAAATCCTAAACTAAACCCTAGAGATCCCTTTAAGGAACCCTATATACATCCCTTTAAAGAGCCCTTTAAGAACCCTTACTAAGTCCCCTGATCCTCCAAGTAGACCCTAAACCCTAAACTAAACCCTAGAGATCCCTTTAAGGAACCCTATATACATCCCTTTAAGGAGCCCTTTAAGAACCCTTACTAAGTCCCCTGATCCTCCAAGTAGACCCTAAACCCTAAACTAAACCCTAGAGATCCCTTCAATGAACTCTATATACATCGCTTTAAGGAGCCCTTTAAGAACGCTTACTAAGTCCCCTGATCCTCCAAGTAGACACTAAACCCTAAACTAAACCCTAGAGATCCCTTTAAGGAACCCTATATACATCCCTTTAAGGAGCCCTTTAAGAACCCTTACTAAGTCTCCTGATCCTCCAAGTAGACCCTAAACCCTAAACTAAACCCTAGAGATCCCTTTAAGGAACCCTATATACATCCCTTTAAGGAGCCCTTTAAGAACCCTTGCCTTACTAAGTCCCCTGATCCTCCAAGTAGACCCTAAACCCTAAACTAAACCGTAGAGGTCCCTTTAAGGAACCCTATATACATCCCTTTAAGGAGCCCTTTAAGAACCCTTGCATTACTAAGTCCCCTGATCCTCCAAGTAGACCCTAAATCCTAAACTAAACCCTAGAGGTCCCTTTAAGGAACCCTATATACATCCCTTTAAGGAGCCCTTTAAGAACCCTTACTAAGTCCCCTGATCCTCCAAGTAGAACCTAAACCCTAAACTAAACCCTAGAGGTCCCTTTAATGAACTCTATACACATCCCTTTAAGGAGCCCTCTGATCCTTATAAAGGGATCCTTGAAAAGGCTCCTTTAAAGGGATCTATAAGGGTTCTATGAGGGTTCTATAAAGGGGTTTAGGGTTTGGTAGTTTCCGGAGTTTAGGGGTACCTTATTTTGGGGTCCTTGTAATCAGGATCCTACTATTTAGGGTGCTATATTAGGGTCCCCTATTTTTGGAAGCTCCCGTTTAGGGCCCTCCGAGTTCCCGGCCTCCATTGAGCGGAAGACAATCGCGCTGTCCCTTGGCCACGGGCTTCGGGTTTAGGGGTGAGGGTTCAGGGATGTAGGGTTTAGGCGGGGGTTCAGGGGTTAAGGGGTGTACTTTGAAGTTGCAATTGCGAAAGTATGGGCATTCTCCAGAATCACTGCTTAGAAGCGCTGCTCTTGCCATGTATTGCGGGTACCGTGTGGGGAATCAGTGCGACAGCCTTCTGAATTCTGGATGATGCTGGCACCACCCCCTGGCAACCATGCTCCATGCCCCGGCTCCATGCATATCCATGTCTACGGAATCTCTGATAACCCCCTGTGATCAAGTGCTATTGAACTCTGAACCCCCAGTCCCCGAAACCCTGGTCCACCCTGTTGCAACACCATCCCCAAACCCTAATAAACCCTAAACCCTAAACCCTAAACCCCAAACGCTAAACCCTAAACCCTAAAGACTAAAGCCTGTGTCGGGGAGGCTTTTGGACTTGAGACACCAAGTCCCCAGACCTTCCAAAATCCCTTAGTCAAGGAAGATACCTGCAATCATTTTAAGGAATTCTTTTATAATTTAGGGTATGTTCCTGAAATAAGGGATATCGGAAGCCTCCTCTTCCTGTGCATCTGTCCCTGTTTCGTCTACTTGGACGGTCTCCTGAAGGCTCATTGCGGCATGTTGCGACCGTCTCTACTCCTAAAGTTTGTCCTCCCTCTTCTGCGATGCGGATTCCTACTTCCCCACGCTTGTACTGCTGCTTCTACTAGTTCGAAAGTCTTCTGTATCAAGATGCTCGTAACACTCCAATGGCCGACACGAAACACCGTGAAAAGGCCCTCAGCACTCCTTAGCCATAATATGAATGTTTCCGAACATTAGGCGTATCTGGTTTTGGGGTCCTCATAGTAAGGCTCGTATATACTACTCAAGGGCATTATATCAGGGTCCCCTCTTTTCGGAAACTCCCATATCCTGGCGACTTAGAGAGCCGAGCAAAGTCGGATAACAGGAAGATAGCCTCGGCTCCAGAGATACCCATAGAGCAGGATCCCTACGGTTGATGGTATAAATCCTGCGGTATATTCCTTATTATGGGTAATGCAGGATTTATCTCATCAACCGTATCATGATTTGAGGTATAATCCTGAATTCAGGGATTTCGGGTACCTCAAGCCCTAAACCCTATAGATCCCTTATGGATCCCTTAAAGGAACCCTAGGTATCCCCGAATTAAAGTCCAAGCGACCTGCTGCCGACAAAGGAATGAGTTCTGTCCTTTGCACTCGTTGCATGCGGAGGCATCGGCCACCTTGCATGCCAGATGATCGCGGATCGCAGTCTTCAGCTACGGAATACTTCCCCTCCAACATGAGTATTCTCAACCCCAAGCCCTAACCCCTAAAAACCCTCAACCTTAGACCCCTAAACCCCTAAACCCCTAAAACCCTAAAGCCTACTATATGTTAAAGCATACTCTGATGTTCATATACGTTTCCTGACCGATCATCGACTGATCATAACCGTAGGGAGCTCCCCCTTGCTGGCGGGACGGTGCGTCCTGAATGCTTACTTAAAGGATCATGGGGCTTAGTAACTAGGGTTCCTATCTACAAGGGTTCCTTAAAGGGCACTATAGATGGATCTATAAGGGTTTAGGGTACTTAAGGGATTATGGGACTTAGTAACTAAGGTTATAAAAAAGGTAACTATACTTACAATTACTTATAACCCTAACTAGGGAACTTAGAACCTTACTTACTAAGTCCCCTGATCCTCCAAGTAAAGTCTCCCTCCCTGATCTCCACTGCCAGGGGTTAACGGTTCGTTTGAGCTCCTTGTACCGCCTCCCATGCTGTCAAGGGGCTTAGGGCTTAAGATGTTTCTAGGAGTTAGGGTTTAGGATTTCGGGTGTAGGGTTTAGGGATCTCAGTTGCAATCCCGTGGTTTTGGTTCAGTCGTGGTCTTAGGGGGTCTGATGACTGATGACGGTGACGGCAGATGGGCGCCGAGAGAGGGAGCCAGCTGGTTTGGTGCTATTAGTGCTTGACATTTTGAGGTCGGCAAGAAGGACAAGCCCCGGCATAACCCTGAAGCACTAAATCCTAAACCCTGAACCCTAAACTACCCTAAACCCTAAACTCTGAACCCTGAACCCTAAACTCTCGAAGCATTACAGCCCCGATGAGCAAAGGCATTTCCAAGGTAACCCAGCAGTCGAAACCCTAGAACCTCCTAGAAGCCCTAAACCCCTAAAACCCCGAACCCATCAAGCCCTAAACCCCTAAACCCCCAAAGCCCATAAAGCCCTATAGCCCATAAAGCCCCAAACCCTTCTTTAACCCCTGACACACGCTTTCAAAACGATGTCGTTCGGAATTGGAATTGGTGAGCCGAATGCACAGAAGGTCTCGATATTCCTCACGAGGGCTTTTATTGGGGTTCGGGGGTTCTTTTTTTACACGGGGTTTAAGGGCTCTTTTTTTACACGGGGTTTAGGGGTTCATGGTTTAAGGATTGGGGATGAGGGTTTGCTTAAAGTGTGTTGACGGATCTGCCTGTACAGGCACACACTGGATGAGGGTTTAGGGGTTTAGCGACTAGGGTTTAGGGTTTAAGGTTTTGTGCTCACTGCGTGACTTTGTGGTAGAATGCTGATGCTACAGCCGGCCAAGAACCCTACAGACTCGACTACACCATAGGTCTGATCAAGGAGCACACTCCTTCTCGGAGAACGCGAACTTGCCTTCGGCATCGTAACCTCCCGTGGACGCTGAGCAGCGACGCACGCGCTTAAGCATTGGGCAGTCTTTCCCGAAACTGTGTGCCTCGACCCAAGAGTCGGACACCCAAAGTTAAAGCCCTAAACCCAATACCCCTAAGCCGTAAACCCTGATTCAAACCCTAAACCCCTAAACCATAAACCCTAAACCCCAAGAACCTCTAAACCCCAACCTTCCCTAACCCCGAACCCCCAACCCTGAACCTCCAAACCCTCAGCCCCCAAAGAGGCCCTTTCGGTTTCCGCCCAGGTGGCTTTTGTGGATGCATTCCGTCTCGTCTGCGGCGCAAATCACGGGGCATTGAAAGGCAACTTGGCACGGAACATGCAATCATAAGTAGGGTTTAAGGGTGTAGGGGTAGGGCTTAGGGTTTAGGGTTGAGGGTTTAAGGGTTTAGGGGTAAGGTTCAGGGTTTAAGGGTTTGGGGTCTAGGGGTTTAATCACCAGGATGGTAACCATTATAGTGGTACTGCCATTGATAATAGCACTGAGTGCAATCCCCAGAATGAGCATAATGCTACTGACGGCAGCAGATATCATAATCATGACTGTGGCCATAATAACGATAGTAACAGAACAATCATAATCGCAACCATGTTTACGATGCTAGCCATAACAGCAATAACCACAATCACAACAAGAAAAAAAGCATAGACCTATAATGTCCCTAGAGGCTGCAGGGTTTGAAGCTTTACAAACTTCAACCCTCCATAATGCCTGAACCCTAAACCCCTTTAAACCTTAAACCCCTAAACCCTAAACCCTAAAACCTTAGATCCCTAAAACCCTAAACCCTGAACCCCCAAAACCCTAAACCCTAACACCTCAACCGGAAAACCTAAACCCTGAACCCCAAAATCCTGAACCCCCGGGCCTTCCCAACCTCAGCCGGGATACATCCTGTCCCCGGGTCGATCAGCGCGCGGCAGATGTCCTAAGCTCTAAGCTCCAACTCAACTAAAAGTTTAGGGTTTAGGGAAGACGGTCTAAGGCTTTTCCAAAGCTTTCGTGTCATTACTCGCTACTAAGAATGAACAATCTTTAAACCCTAAACCCTAAAACCATAAACCCAGAGCAGTATTTCCTAAACTCCAAACCCTAAGCTTGCGACCCTAAGCTTTTAATTCCGAGGGTCCCCAGAAGGCATGCGGCAGATCTGTGAGTTCGCGCCACATGGGCAGGGAAGCTCCTTGTGGTTACTTGGAGGATCAGGGGACTTTGTAAGGGTTCTTAAAGGGCTCGTTGGAAAATAGGATTCCTTAAAGGGATCTATAGGGTTTAGAGTCTACTTGGAGGATCAGGGGACATAGCAAGTAAGGTTAGAAGTACCCTAATTGGGGTTGCAAGTAATTAAAAGTATAGTTACCTTATTTACAACCCCAGTTACTAAGTCCCATGATCCTTTGAGTAGGGCTTGGGGTTTTGGCGGCTTTAGGTTTAAAGCTTGGGATTGAGATTTTGAGGTTTAGCGGGGTGTAGGTTTAGGGTTTGGGGTTTGATTCTACTCAAACGATCATGGGACTTAGTAACTGGGGTTGTAAACAAGGCAACTATACTTATACTTACTTATAACCCCAATTAGGGTACTTCTAACCTTACTTACTAAGTCCCCCTGATCCTCCAAGCAGGGCTTCGGGTTTAGAGCTTAGGGCCTTAACCCCAAACCCACTCCTCAGCGACGCAGATTTCGTTAGTTTGTGCGATCGGATTGCCATCTGGGGCGAAATCCTCGGTTCTCGCACACATGGCACACCTTTACACTTTAGGGGTTTAGGGCTTTATGGCTTCAGGGGTCTAGGGGTTTAGGGTGAAGGGTTTAGGGGATTTTGGGCTTTAGGGGTTTCTTCCTACAAGATCAGCAATGGTCACACTGCAGCTCATGTCAGCAGATCCTAGACAGGGATTGAGTTTCGAAGGCACTTGATCCAAGGCTCGATCACTTGACAAGCTTTCTCACCTGCTTCGCAGCTGACGGGGCAACTCTCCGTAGTGGGATAGCAAGCTTCACTGATGGTCCTCGGTTGCAGCGAACATACGGGTAGCTCTCTAAGTTAGGGTCCTGTTTATAAGGGGGCCGTACTTCAGGAACATCGTAGCCTGGAGAGTAGCCCACACCCTTACAAGGGGCCTGAACAAGTAGAACAGGGCTTTCCGGTATAGTGTACTACAATCATGTTCAAGAATCCAATGGAGTAGTATTAGTGATGATGGTGCTTATCCCTGAACACCCGAACTCCCAAAACCCAGAACAGTTTAACATAGGGACCAAAATAGTTGGAACAGGGTTTCGGGGCACATTTTGCACCCCTAAATCCCTGAACCCTAAACCCTGAAACGCTAAACCCTGTTTTTGATGCGCACACAAACTGAGGAACGGGCCCCCAAATTATGTCCTTCGCCGTGTCAGATAGGCCCGCTGTCTTTTGGTTCGGGTTTGGGATTTGGAGGGTTTTCGAGAATCTTACTTACAGGATCACGGGACTTTGTAACTAATAGGGTAACAAGTAATGTTAATACATATACGGGTGGTTGTCAAAATTAAGGTCCCTTTTGGGTCCCTATTATAATACGGCAACTAATATTCAGGGGACCCAACAAAGGCCCATAATTTTGACAACTACCCACATACACGTACCTCTGGTTCAAGTACTTATAACCTTACCAGCCAAAGCCCCGGCTCCTCCCCAAGTAGGATTTCAGAGTTAGGAATTCTGTGGTTTTTTTGGGGTTTAGGGTTTAGGGGTTTAGGGTTTCACGTACGCTGAAATGCGGGGCTTCGGATTTAGAGCTTTAGGGGTTTAGGGTTTAAGGTTTAGGGTTTAGGGTTTAGGGTTTTAGTGTTAAGAGTTTCTTCGGAGTTTAGGATTTGGGGATTGGAAGTTGGGGTTTGGGGCTCTGAAACTGCCATGCTAGAAGTAATGTAGGGGCTTTGATAAGGTTTTTGGGCAAACCATACTATAACGATAATAAGGGGCCCCCACAATCATTTGCTAATTATTTAGGCTCCTACGTTAGGGTTTAACCTAAACCCTATACCCTGAACCCTAAACCTTTTGGGGTTTCGAGTTTGGGGCTCTGAAACTGCGATGCCAGAAATCAGGCTCTCGCTGTCATCCTGAACTTCCCTTGGGCATTGCGAAGCCTTCCATCTGAAGTACTACAAGAACCCATTTAAAAAGCGGGTTCAAGGGTGTAGGTCTTGGGGTTCAGGGTTTATGGTTTAGGGGTGCCTTGCCATTAGAACGGAGTGTTGGGGTATCTTCTGCTATAGTTGTAATCATGAAAGCCAACCATGAAGGCCGCACTACATTGCCATGACAAAGCCAAACTCCTTCCATCTGCACAGCTGCGCGTTCCTGCCACACGGACAAGGCCTGCGTCACGAGGTTTAGGCACTCTCACAAAGGGCTTCAGCTCTCCAGGAGATTTATAACCATTAGGGTGTTGGGTCTACCTGTAGCCGGAAAGACCTACCGTTTTAGGGTTCCTTACTATGGTTTCTATATATAGGTCCTTAAAAAGGTAGGTCTTTGGGCTACAGGTAGGGGTTTAGGGGTTTGCAAGCTTCCAAAACTGCAGCGTCTCTGAAGCAAACGCCATGACATGACATCGATAGCACCCCAGCACGCAGAGACCCCCGGATTATAAGCGATACCCACGAACATTTCACAGCCCGCTTCCAAAACTGCATTTCAGGTAGCTTAAACAGCTTCCAATGACCAGGTGCATGGCCTTTTGGGGCCGTGCCAGTGTTGAAACCCTCCAAAATAACTTTCCAGCAATGAAAACTTCTCCCGATACTCCAAACCGAACTGCGGAGGTTTCTCAGGTTTGGGAACTTCGACTCCAGTGTGTATGCGCACGCAATGCTACGAAAAAAGCAATGTGAGGTCGCTGGCTATGGTGAAGTGCATCCAAAGCCTGATGAGTGCTGCGGTTTTGATTGATTTGAAACTCTGAAAGCTGACGCAGACTGATGCCGGATCGGGCAAGCGCCGGCGGTTTTTTTCCAAGGTGCGGCCAACCCTTTTTTTTTCTCCTAGGTGCGGCCAACCTTTTTTTTAAGGTTGGACACGCAGGATCCCTGTAAAGAATTTGCGCCGCACCACAGCGCGAGTGCTTTGACACGCAGGATCCCTGTGGAAGGTTTATCGGGGACGTAGAAAACTTGCACCACACCACAGCGCCAGCGCTTCGACGCACAGGATCCCTGTGGAGGGTTCATCGGGGACGTAGAAAATTTGCACCGCACCACAGCGCCAGCGCTTCGACGCACAGGATCCCTGTGGAGGGTTCATCGGGGACGTAGAAAATTTGCACCGCACCACAGCGCCAGCGCTTCGACGCGCAGGATCCCTGTGGAGGGTTCATCGGGGTTTCCTTAATGTCGTCGTGGTCGTCGTCCTGGTTGTTGTTTTTGCTGTTGCTGTTGCTGTTGCTGTTGCTGTTGCTGTTGCTGTTGTTGTTGCTGTTGCTGTTGTTGTTGATGATGATGTTGTTGTTGGTCGTGGTTGTTGTTGTTGCTGCTGTTGTTGTTGTTGCTGTTGTAGTTGTTGTCGTTGGTTGCTGTTGTTGTGGTTGTGGTTGTGATTGTGGTTGTGGTTGTGGTTGTGGTTGTGGCTGTGGTTGTGGTTGTTGTTGTTGCTGTTGTTGTTATTGTTATAGTTATTGTTATTGTTATTGTTAGTGTTATTGTTATTGTTCTTGTTATTGCCATTGTTATTGTTATTATTAATATTATTATTCTTGTTCTTGCTATTGTTCTTGTTCTTGTTCTTGTTCTTGTTCTTGTTATTGTTATTGTTATTGTTCTTATTATTCTTCTTGTTCTTGTTCTTGCTATTGTTATTGTTATTGTTCTTGTTCTTCTTGTTGTTGTTGTTGTTGTAGTAGTTGTTGCGGTTGTTGTCGTCTTTTTGTATTGTTGTTCTTGTCGTTTTTATTATTCCTTTTCCTTGTGCTGCTGGCTTTCTTTCCTTCATCATATTTCTTCTGCTTTTCTTTCTTCTGGGGCTGTGCTTTATTTTGTTATTCGTTGTTTGCTTTCTTGTTGCTTTTACGGGACCGAGGGACCGGCGGACCGCAGGACCAGGAGACCACGGGACCAGGAGACCACGGGACCAGAGGACCAGCAGACCATGCACCAGGGGACCAGGAGACACGGGATCAGAGGACCAGCAGACCAGAGGACCAGGGGACCACAGGACCAAGGACCAGAGGACTAGGGGACCGCGAACAGAGGACCAGGGGACCACAAGACCAAGGACCAGAGGACTAGGGGACCGCATGCACCAGGGACTTGGCCGCACCTCGCAAACAAGGGTTGGCCGCACCTTGGAAAAAAAAACATGGCCCGGCAAGCGCCCTACGAAGTGCCCAGACAACGCGCCAACTATCCATCCATAAAGATTCCAGCGGCTTCATGCGCAGATACATCGACAGGGCCGTTCGATTTGCATGTCACGTGCTTCTCGTGAAAAACTTCACGTGGTCCTTAGTCAAAAACTTCGCGTCCGTGTGGCTTCGAGTAACACGTGCCGTCATAACGCATTGCATGTCGTGAACACCCTACCTAGCCCAAACCCCAAACCCTCGACCCTCAACCCTGATGTTCAACCCCACTCACTTGGAACATTGAGGTAGTATCGGGGCCTGAATAATTAGAATAGCGTTTTGGAGTTCCTTATTATTGTTATAATTAGTCAGTTATAGTATGATATATCCCCAAACCCGATTCTAATTACTAAGGCCCGTGCAGTAACCCAAGACTGAACCCCCAAAAGCCAAAACCCTTTTAGACCCTAAACCTGTTAGAACCTTGATAGATCCCTTTCAAGGAGCCCTAAACCCTGAACCCTTAAGACCGGCAACCCTAAACCCAAGACCTGAAACCCCCAAGGCTGAAGGTCGCGGGGAGACCTCTCGTGCAGCTCGCAACTCTCCTCAACCGGCCCACTGAAGTCGAGCTGACCTGCTTTCCCCCTCTTTTTGGGGCACTTGGGGTTTAGGGGTTTAGGATTTAGAGTTAGGGTTTAGGGTTTAGGGTTTAGGATTTAGGGTTCAGGGGGCTTCGGGTCTCCTTTTCTTTAAAAGGCTCGGTTCAAGCTGCTTGCAGGTCACTGCACAAAGCCTTCCTAGAAGGCGAACACGTCAAGGGTTTGGGGTTTAAAGTATGCCGTGCCTCAGGTCGCTAGAGTTCTGACCTTCGCAGCATTCCGTGGTCGATCCTTTTTTCGGGCCCAACATCTCCTGTTTGGAGAGGCGCGGCCAGGGGTGACCTCACAAGGGCTCGCGACCTCTCACCAGCCCTTCCACAGCCTCTGGGGCTGGGGTTTGAGAGCACTTGAAGGATCAGAAAAACTTGTTAAGTAAGGCTCTCCCTACCTTGCCTGGGGTATAGTGGTCGTATTTTGTATCCCCTGTTTTTGAGTCACATCAGGAAGGCCGAATCCCCTCGCGGCTTTTCACGCTGTCGTTTTACATAGTACCGTAACCCCAAGTAACTTACCTTTTTAAGAACTTGTATAAAGAAATATGTCAGGGAGCCCTAAACCCAGACCCCCGGGAGGATCTAGAAAGTAGATCCCCTAATTTGGGGCCCTATACTACTAAGGGTACTTTATAGGAACCCCCATTAAGGGATCTACTTTTTGGATCCTCCCGGGGGTCTGGGAAAAGGTAGGTCCCCAGGGTCCAGGTATACAAATGTTGTCACACGAAATGTGTTCGACAGCTACGAGGATGGCCAAGGACTTGCACCTCTTGAAGCCAAAGTTGGCAAAATCAAGGTAACTTAGGGTTTAGGGTTTAGGGGTTTAGGGTTTAGGGGTTTAGGGGTTTATTAGGGTTTAGGACTTAGGGTTCCTATCCTGACCCGCACTCTGGCTCATGCGTTAATCTTGTGCTTCCCCGGCAAAACGCTTTTTGCCCGTTGGCAAGAGATTTGGAAGAGGCAACTGCACATAAGCCATTTCTTTTTCGGAGTTGTTGGTCAGATGCTCCTTGTCCGAATGCTTGTTTCCCTCGCGAAGAAACCAGGCTTTGCAGACGTGCATGCTTTGGTGCCGTGTTTCTATCGCCACGGCTTTCGGCTCAGTTTTCTGTACTTCAGATTTCGGGACAACATTGAGATTCTGACATGGAAAGCTGTTAGTCATACGAATTAAAAAATGTGGCTGTTTTTCTGTGTTCGATAAAAGCGTAATTCTTTCCAGATATGACGTGTGTAATAGAAATGTCACATGTTGCTTTGTGCACACGGTAGCGTAGGCAGGAAGGCTGCGGAGATTACAGTGCTGAGGTCATCACAGTCGGAGCGACGGTTTCTCCGGTACAAAGCAGCCTGAATCGCATTAGTATTGATAGGAGCCTCAGGGAATGTCTGAGATTGCTGCTAAAACTGCATCGGACCAACGTCGTCAGATTAAACTATTGCAGGACGACAAGGGGTCATGATCAGGAAGAGGAAAAGGAAGAGTCCGTTTACATCCGGAGCAGGTGTCGGATTCGTGGAATACAAATCACAATAGTATTCAACCATGGATCGATCATGGATGCTCTGCAACAACAAGTGGGATCTGAGTGGATGATCTCATGGTTGGATCGTGGATGCTCGACGAACGCTTACTCGCAACCTATCATGGTTCGATCATGGATGCTCTGCCGCAACGAATGCGGTCTGAGTCGACATTATCATGGTTCGATCATGGATGCTGCTGGAATGACCGATGCTCTGCAGGAGGCGTTTGGAAGTCGGCTGAAAGAAGCAACAACCCGCGTCTCAGGATAGATGGCGTAAGCAAAAACAAACTGCGTGCTCCCCACCGGGTTTGGGGTTTGAGCTGTAGGGTTATATATAGAGTGCTTCATGCGCCGTGACAGCGCTGCAGAGCAAGAGTCATTGGGCAAAATTGGACTCCTCACATCAACGTGGTGCACCCGACAATCACAGGAAAGTTAACGATATCGAGGGTACGCCATTCCCACTTGAGAATTAATTCGTTGATCGTGACTTTCTGTTGGTGCATTGTTGTGAGCCCTCACATTAAGCCCCCCAAACCTCACCGCGTTTTGAAACATCGACGGTGGTTTGCACAGACAGAACCTCAAATGGATTTCTGAACAAAAGTCTCCTTCCTCCAGCCACCAACTTCCAGTTTCCCTGCATAGGAACATGGCTTCTAAAGTGACATGCGATGACGTAACAAAGAAATCGAAATGCTCATTTTGCACCCTTGTAAACCACACCGTAGGCGATAGACCTTGCAGCATGCCCAGCATGCTCTCTAAGGAGAAGCACGGGAAACTGTCTCCTTGTTCCAGGTTTCCAATTCTAGGATCATGTCCAATCTCTTGTTGTCTAGTAACAAGCTCCCGCGGTCAACAACATTTTGCGACAGTGGAGCTGACTTGAAGGAATTTTATAGTTGCTTCAATACTCACTGAAACTGAGTATCGATTTCCTCCAAAACCATTACTCGCAACGATCATCTGTGTTTCAGTTTCAGCTGTGCAGCCACTATCGTGGATCCGGCCAATCATCCAATTCACCCTAAACCCCTAAACCCTAAACCCTAAACCGGCCGAGGCTGAGGGTTTCGCACTTAAGGGTGAAAGTTCCACCAATTCCGCAGTTGCTGAAACGGCTGAAACGAGCGGACCTTTGGTGGCGCAAAGGAAGGCTCTTTATCCTGGAGCGTCGGGCTAATATAGGTGCCTTACTGATTGGGGTAGTGTTTTGGGGCCCATTATACTATAAGCATAACAAGGAACACCAAAAAAATTGTGGTATTTGTTTAGGCCCCTGTTGTAAAGACCCCCAAACAATCGAGGGCTCGACTTCTTAAGCTACCACAAACCTTAAAGACTCATCAGAAAAGTTTGCCCCTTGCCTCTTAGGACCTCTTGCTTAGGGTTTGGCTTTAGGGTTTAGGGTTTAGGGTGCTGGGGCTCAAAAACATGAAGCATACCAAGCACTGTCTTTTGCATAGCAGCGTGTTAACTTTCCACGAGGCCTCTTGTATTTGTGGCTACTACCTATTACCCCCTTTAGAACCATAATAAAAATAGTAGTTTTAACATTCACTTGGGTTTTGGATGAGCAAAATCGAAGAATAACTCCTATGGAGACTATAGTTTTAACGTACTGATAGTCAGGGTTTGGGTTTAGGGTTTATGCAGAGCTGTCTTTGTAGCTGCCGCGAGCAATCCCATGCCTGCTACTGGGGAGGGGTATGGGATTTAGGGCTCATAAATGCATCATAGCGGCCATCCTCTGTGAAAGAAATCAACTGACACTTCTTCTCTGTATCGGCACATACAAGAGGACATTCTTTCGTAACCTCGGCGCTGCTGGCGAGGTGTTCGGATGCCGTGCGGCCTAACATGAATGCCTGTGGCAGCAACTGGCCTGCATGCACAGCAGCATCTTGCACGGGATCCATCAACTTGCCGATCCTACTATGCGGTTATGCGGGGTTGTGATAACCAGTTGCGGCAGAGAAGCATCTTCGCAATAACCCGAGTCACCCGCGAACCGATAACATCTGTGGGCTGTTGCATCGTCGCAAGGGCACTCATCGTAGTAACGCATACCTCACGGGTATTGGGAGGAGCGCGGGAGCCAGCGGGATGACTTGAAACATGCAACGACAACGTTATTGATTACTTCGGGCTTTTTTACATGTTAGACCCAACCCTCCCATCGACGATGCTGGCCTTCCAGGCGTCAAGAGCTTGACATAGGATCCCGACTAGCCCAAACGAGAACGGCTGTCCTCCTCCTGTCCTGCGGCCCTTACCAAAACTCCAAGACACCCTGAACCGCAAAGTGAGCCAGCCAGGGTGCACTGCTTCGACACCACTGTGCTCTCGCCATCAACATATCCCACCTGAAAAACGGAGCCACCATCAACGAGAGCGCACTGGCCGAACCCCAACAAACATCTCGGAGGCTTGAACCAAATATGAGAAGGCATCCTGCAGACAGTGGTGAACGTGCGGTGCACAGGACTGCTTTCATGACCCGAGTCTATAGAACATGCCACGACGTACTAACATACCGTGCCACACTGCTCCGATGCTTGCCAAGACGCGACACCGCAGATGTATTCAGAATCATCGCAGATCAAAGGGCATTCCATAGAAGCCGATCGGCAGAACGAATCCCAACCGCCGCTGCCACACCTGGCAAACTACGAGAACTTACTGTGGGGGCCTTAATAATTAGAACAGGGTTTGGAGACAGATGTACTATGTTTGAAATAAGGAGCCCCCCAAAAATACGGTTACGTTACTTTTGCTAACTCCCGGCGTTGTTTTGCTTTAAATTCTGGTCTGTCAGTGGTACTGTCACCAGTACTTCGAGCAGGACTGCCTATGACAGTTGCAACCGTCAGACTGGAGCAGCCACTGCTGTTGCTCTCGCCCTTGTCCTTTAAGAAACAATAGACAGAGCCCCATACCTATATCCCTAAGTAGGAAATATTGAAGAAGGTCTACTAGCCGGTCTGTTTATTCTTTTGGGGGAACCATGAAAAAGGACAAGGCTGGTTGCTCTTACTCTTGCTCTTCCTCGTATCCTTACTTGCACTTGTACTCGTTACGAGCATAGCATGGGTTTCGCTATGGCCCTGCTCCTGCAAACAGAACCTTACCCTGGTTCTGATTTCTGCGAGACATGCACAGACTTCTGACATTCCTGCAGATTCTGACAAGGCGCTGCTGGGCGGTGGCAGGATCACAGAAGAGGGGGCAGTGCCAGGCCGACCTTAGCAGCAAAGGCCTCCCAGTAGCTCTTGGAATCCCTGAGCGGCTTGAGTAATTTAGGGTTTCGGGTTTAGGAGTTTAGGATTTAGGAGCTTAGGGTTTAGGGTTTAGGAGTTTAGGGTTTAGGGTTAGACATCGTAACAGTCATACTGATGATTCATAATAAAAGCAGTCATACTCGTGGTAATAGTAACAGCGGTGTACTGTTAATGGGAACGGTACTACGGTTGATGATATAAATCCTGCATTAGCTTAATGACCCTAGACTATGAGCATTGTTGTATATTCCTTGTTATGGGTAATGCAGGATTTGTTTCATCAGCCGTATTAACAGCAACCCTTCATCCAGATTTAGTTCTCTGGGAGGCCATGGCGAAGGGAGATTGTTCAAGCATCTTTTGTATCTATGTCCACAAGTACGCTGGGCGTGGGACCCTAAACCCTGAACCCTAAAACCCCCTAAACTTTGCCCTAAACCCTAAATGGGGAGGGGGGGAGGGAGGTTGCGTTCGTGAGCCTGGGCGACCAAACCACACCTCTGACCTCCGATTCAACTTCGCACGGTGCAGTGCCTGGAAGGTGCTCAAAGTTCCATGCTCACCATATAGTCTTATAACGAGTAAAGTTTAAAGTATGCCTGAAAAACTTATGTACAAGATACTACCCTCGCCCCAGCCTGCAGGTCTGACTTCGTGTACAGAGACTCTGGTCTGTTCCAACTGCGCTGAGCCACGCGTCGTCGAGGCAATAATCCACGGCTATCCTCGGCGACAGGTATCGAGCAGCTTAGAACTTGTCTGACTGTCATAACTGCCGACAACATCAAACATCTTTGTCAAGGCGAGAATTATTACCGAAAGGTGCGGGGGCTCCTTATTATAACTATAATATATAATGGGCCCGAAAAAACCCTATTCTAATTATTTAGGCTCCTATATTATGTGGGCGGAGGGTGCCCAAGAAAGCTGGTCTGGGCTTTCGTGAAGTATCTTGGCCTAGCAGCTCGTTGTCAGGTGTAGGGAAGGCGATCATCTGGCAAACCATTTGGTTCCATGCGCATTGAAGCGGGCAAAGTTGGTAGTGTTCCTTGGCGTGCGGCGTAGTGCTTCAGGAATATGTGGTGCAGATGGGTTTCGGGTTCACGTGAGGGTTTCGTACAGTAGGCATCGTTCAGTTCTGGCGGCTAATCTCATAGACGTCGGATTTAGTCGTCTCAAGCATGTCTAGCCGCCCGAGTCTAGCGAGGGTCATGACACAGTTATACTTTCTTCTCGCAAGCCTACGTGGGGAGGATCAATTGCACGCAGCCAGTTCCGCCCACCTCAATCGCCTCAACCATCAAACCTCAAACCGTTTCAAACCCTAAGCCCAAATCCTGAGCTCTAAACCCTAACCCGCCCCCACCCCGCCCGCCTCGAAAACAAAAAAGCAACTGAGTTGTACTTTGAGCCCTTCGAAAATTCTTTACTATTGTGGTTCTCTACAAAATAGTAGGGGAAACTAAAAAAGATCCCAAAGGACTAAACCCTCAACCCTAAACCCCCCAGTTTTACCCAGCACTCCAGTCAGACAAAGCCCCATAGGCCAGAATGGGGCTAGTTGCAGGTTCAGGGTTTAGCGATCCTTTGAGGGTTCAGGGTTTAGGGTTGAGGGTTTAGGGTTTAGGGTTGAGGGTTTAGGGTTTAGGTGCTACAAGAGTTTAGTATCGTGTTTCTTATATGCTGTACCATCACTATGAGCGGCCTATTACGGACACGATCTATTCTTCCGACCCCTGTTTTCACCGAATGCCAGACGACAAAAACGAAAGCAACCCTAAACCCAAAGCCCTGAACCCTAAGCCCTGAACCCTAAACCCAAAACCCAAAGCCCTAAACCCTCAACCCTCAAACCTAAATCCTAAGTAAGCCCTTAACCCTAAACCCTGAATTTCGTGCTTTCTGCCGAGAAGCTTTCGGCAGGCAAAAGGTCTTTCCGCCCTCGTGTTGAGGGTTTGGCTTAGGCGGTTTAGGGTTCATGGTCTAGGGTTTAGGGTTTAGACGGTTCAGGTTAGGGACACAGGCATAAGAAGCCAAGCTCAGACGAAAACATGGCCCCACCCCCCACCCACCCCACCCCCCACCCCACCCCACCCCCACCCCCACCCCCTGTGCCGATACACCCCCAAGGGATACTCCTTGTAAGGAGGTGTATGACCAGTTATTCCCTAAGGATCAAAGGGCAGCGCCCTGCACACGGACAGTAGTTGTTTTGTCTTGCTACGCAAGGAGAGCTTGTCTTGTCTCAATATGGTAAAACCACTGTGAGCCAATGGGCAGCGGAATGTATATGTATGAGCATGCAGCCATTGCTGTAGGTACCTGTTAGAGCTACCCCTTTAGAGGTTTATGGTTTCAAACAGACACTAATTTTCTTTTACCGGAAGCATGGCCGCACATTCACACATATACTATTATGCCCACTGTCACAGTTGCGGAGTTTGGACTCATGATAAAAACAGCATATTATTTATGCTAGGTATAGCACTGAAGTACACTGCTGAGGACACTCCACTCATTTTGCACACACACTCATGCATGTTGGTCAGAGAGATCATCTGTACAAGATCATGTCTGGTGATGTTTTCTATATCGAATTATGCAGCCTTTCACTTTGCTCTTGTTAGAGCTTTGTGAGTCACTATTGTGAAACTCTGAGAATTTTTTTTTATCTCAGATTCGGATCCATGTTTGGATCATAGGCTCGAGCGTAGACGTTCGGATGTGGCTCATCCGGGTCTGAGTGGTCTTCTTCGGAACTTGAAAAGATTCCGAGTAATCTGTTCTCAGCCCTGGTGAAGGCGGCGTCTGCAGTATCATATCCATGGTTGGATGTTGTCGCCTTTGGCTCGGCCTTTGGAGCAGCTTGTGAGCTGACTGGAGTTGCCTTGGCTTTTGCCGGTTGCGGCTGCTTAGCCTTTGCCCGTTCAGCCCTTCTTCTTTCAAGCTGTCCGTCTGAGGACGCCCATGATCTTTCACTTTCATCTCCTGAAGGAGATAAGGCGTGGGCATAAAGGCTATTCCAGTACTGTGGTGCAGAAGGAGTTAGGACTTCTTCATTGTCAGATTCTGACTGGTCTTCCTCAGAGCTTTGGTCGTCAAAGAGTGTCTCGAGGACATTTTTGAGATTGTTATTTCTTCGCTCTATCTCTAGTGAGGAATGGACCAATTGGTTAAAGACTGTCCTTGAGTCCTTCAGTGCTGTTAGAAGGATTTCCACTCTGGATAGAGTATCTTGGATGGTGTCAAGATGTTCCTTTCTTTCCTCCTTGTCTCTCTGGATAGAGCCTCGCAATGCTTGTGCGATTCTGAGGAGGTCTGTGTATTTCGCAAGAGGCATAGTTACCGTTTGATTGTCATGTATGACAGTTGTTTCGTCGCCGCTTAAGTTCCTGAATAGGACTTCCACGACTGGTAGGAACTCCGTGCTCCACGGTTCCTCTTCATCATATGTTTCTACGTGCTGTAGCACGCGTTGTGTAAACTGGCCGGCTGCTTCTACCGTTGCATCGATAGAGCTGACGTGTCTTGCTACTATGTTTCGGCACGTAACGTTAATTGCCTGGCCTTGATTGGCTTCGTCAAGTGCAGCGTCTGCATAGGTGCAGAGTCCACTGTTGTGGGCTTCTCTAGCTGCCTTTCGTTGAATGCGCCGATTTTGACCTCCTCTTCTGGTAGGACCTTTTGGTCTTGGAGGATCAGAAGGTACTGTTCCTTTCGCCTTTGGCGGAGGACTCTTAGGTGGAGGTGATATGTTTGCCTTGTTAGGCCCTGGTGGCATTGCCTTGGGCGCTGATGACGATGCGGCACTTGAGAGTGCAGATGTACCTCTGGCCTTTGCCGAGGATCCCTTGGGGATCGATGTATAGGTAATCTGCATGGCTTCTTCGGCCATTTGTGCATGCAAGGCATCCTTGAATAATTGTGTCATGTGAGGAGTGTTACTTGCATCATCGTAGGTCTGGAAGCGCTCAATGTCTCTTTCGGTGCCACGTGGTCGTGTATCACCTCTTTGGAAAGGATCGTTCCTGCGAATCTCCGCAACTTGTACTGCATGGAGGCAGTTTTTGCACAGCACCTTCTTGCAAACATCTCTTGCTTGCTTGAGCTGGTAACAGCTGTCTGAGAGATGGTAGACTTCGCTTCGGGAAGTATGCCAGATAGGTCGCAGATCAGTTGTTTCTCCGGAATTGACCCTGTTGGGTCCTAAAGGTTCACGCGTCTGCGGTTCATCCTCGGGTTCGAGGAATGGAACTCTTTGGTTCGCTGCTGCTTTTGATTTTGGTTGTTGGCGCTCCATACATCTGATAGGAGGCCTGGTAATCTGCTTCCACATCCAGTGTAAGCCCATTAGCAGCAGGAACACATTCCACGCGATGCTGAAGACGGAGAAGTCCTGCTCACTGGTTAGTGAGTTTGGAAGTGAAGTTTCATCAGTCTTGATAGACTCTGCGTTTGCTCCACCTCGGTTGCGGTGTCCGAACCAGCCCGACAATCCCGCTGCTGTAGCAGCTGTTCTGAGTGCCTTGCCGCTCGGAGCAGACGGTGGACGCGATGCCTTCCTTCTTCTTCTCCGGCTGGAGGATTCGTCCTCTTGTTCCTCTTCATCTCTCTGAGCAGACATCAAGTTTGATGTTTCTCTTTCGTGTTCTTCGATGTCACTTTTTGTTGGTGACGGTTCTTCTTCTAGTCCATCCAGCTCTTCCAAAGACATGTTGAGCTTGTCAACAATATTGGTTCTTTGAGGCCTGGACCTTGATCTTGGTAGATCTTGTTGTGAAGAGGACGATGATTCCTGGTTCCTTCTTGGAGGAGGACCTTCAGGCTCGCTGGGACGTTCAGGCTGTGGCCACTCCCAGAATCTTCCATATCTGTGATGGCTACCTGATGGTTGCGATTTGTCGTACCAGCTGTTGCCGGATGAGTAAACGAATGAATCGTTGTAACCCCAGTATTCAGCATTACGCTGCTTGTAAGCCTTTCGCTTGTCAGCGATCTTCTGGACCTGGGCATCTGACCGGTTGTGTTTCCCTTTTGTAAGGATTGGTTGTATCGTGAAGCCCAAAGGGCTGTGCCAATCTTTGTCAGAGGGACTCAACCATAGGTCAAGGTTAGAAAAAGTTGAATAGTACTGCTTGACTGAGACAAACAGACGGATATCAATATCCCTGTTGTTGTTCGTGTCCTGCCACATATCTGAGATTCGCTCCCAGTATGTTCTTTCGGCGGCAGGTGTGACCTCTCTTGGACTAGGTGACGCCGTGTGCGGCGTTTTACTCCAGTCAAGGATATAACTGTTGATACAGTCAAGGTCAGCAACTTTCTTCGCCGGGTCCGCCGGTAGACGATCTGCACGTGCCAGTCTGTGCTGGTCGGAGTTGTTCAAGCAAAGATGTCGCACTTGTGAGTGCCTTCCTGCTATTTTGTTGAATGCTGCAAGTTTCTTCTCCAGGTATAGAGAAAACAAACTGTTTCGCGGGTGAACGTCTCCACCTTTTAAGGTGAGCCTCGACGCAATATTATTGAGATCTCCCGCTATTACATCCGGTTTAAAAGGGAGAATCTCGTTGAGGAACGCGTTCACCAGTTCGCGTCTCTGTTCTTCCTTATGAGTCATGAATGAGTTGAAATGGACGATCGCGATGGTGATGACCTTGTAAGGCCCTTTTGTACACCACATCTCGTCAAGATCGTTCGATGCTTCTTGTGAGAAGATCTCTGCGTATGACTCAAAGTCTTCCTCTGGTGGCTCATCACCCTCGACATGGCCGTTCCATTCACAGAGAATCGGCGAGGGGTCGAGGTTCGACAGTGTCAGGCACGCCTCTGGTGAGAGGTAAGAGCCATCAGTGGGTCCATCCTTGTCAGGATTTTTGCCCTTGAGTGGGTCATATCCGATAATCTGCATGAACTCGTCTCTCGTCATCCTTTGGCCAGAATATGGGTGGACCCATTCTTTTGCCTCTGGTATGGTACTGTGGTACCCAAAGGTGAGGCGGCATACCGCACCGTGGCATGCCCACAGTCGCTTCTTGGGACCACCATTCTTAGGCTTCATTGTTCGATGACGGTAAAAGTGGTGGACGAGAGCGATGTCTGTTGTTGGGTCACCCTTGACTCCAATATACATTGAGGGTGCCTCAGGCTCCTTGGGAGGAGAGTGGATTAGCATCCCCCTGTATTCGTGTTTTCGCATGGTTGCGATCGAATACTCTGACGCAAGTGCTCCTGCCTCGAGTACGAGGGTAATATGAGCTGAATTGTTGAAGCACATGTCAATAAGAGGGTGATAATCGAATCCCTTCTCAGGTTTGAGCTTCTTTTTGGGATTCCCTGCGGGCACCGGCGCTCGATCCATATTTCCCCAGTTGAATACCACTAGGTTTAGCGATACGCTGTCTGGGTTTGAGCCTTCAATGTATTCTCTCTTCTCGTTAACACCGGCCATCCTATTGCGAACTATCTCGTAATGTGCGTCGAGCACCAGTTTGTCTTCGTAGCCAGTAAGAGAGAGAAAAGAAGCCGGGTGGCTTGTTCTAGAGTCCTTGATATTGATGTGACTCTTGTTAATGCTCTTATATTCCTCCAGGGTTGGAGCCTCTGTGGAGCTGTCATACGTATTCGGAGGATTGTTCCTAATATCATCAAGGCTGCATGGATCAACGCCTGGATGGTCCTTTTCGAACAGACTTCTTGCGTGTTCGCAATACATGTTGATTTTCTGGACTGCCAAATCTACGTCCTCATGTGTGAGGATGGCCTCGTATAAAAACTGACGCTCTTCTGAGGTCATTCCTGCTCTCACTTTGGAGGTCTCAAGGCAATCGATTGGCAAGACGCACTCGCACATCCGTTGTTTACCCTGTGGGGTAAGTCGACAGTCTGCACATACAATCGTTCCACAGGAATAGCAAAAATAGCCTGTAGGCTGTTTGCAGAGA